CTATTATCAGAAAACTTTAGATGAATCTAGGCTGTTCTCAGCTGTTTCTTAAACATTAAAATTATTTGGGGAAAAAAATGAAGCTTTCCAATTGTTCAGTTTATCATGTGCATTAATATATTGTGTGCATCTAACACCTAACCATGATGCCTGGTAATAATAGATGCTCACTACGACTGAAAGGATTATTAACTGACTAAATTAACTGTGTTGTTTTTCTTTTAAGGTTAAAAACGACAACTAACGTCAACCATGAAAGATCCAAGTCGCAGCAGTACTAGCCCAAGCATCATCAATGAAGATGTGATAATTAACGGTCATTCTCATGAAGATGACAATCCATTTGCAGAGTACATGTGGATGGAAAATGAAGAGGAATTCAACAGACAAGTTAGTTTTGTGTAGAAACATGCTCTTTTTCGTAGCCCATGACAGTCATCAAATAATATAATTGTACTTGTCCCTGAAGCCAGCCAGCCCTCGTGGTCTAGTGGTTAAGATTCGGTGCCCTTACCACCATGGCCCGGGTTTGTTTCCCCATCAGGGAACCATACCACTTGTCTGCTGGTTGTCGTACTGTGGCAGCTGTGTGTTGCTGTGATGCTGAAAGCTATGCCACCTGTATTTCAAATACCAGCAGGGTCAACCATGGTGGACAGGTTTCAGCGGAGCATCCATGCTAAGACAGACTAGGAAGAAGGACCTGGTCACCCACTTCCAAAAACATTGGCCATGAATAGCAGCGGAATATTGTCTAATACAGCGCCAGAAGGTGAGAGGATGGCGCAAAAAAAAAAAAAAAGATCAGGCAGGGTTCAGCTCTGCTGTACACAGGGTTGCCAGGAATTGGAATCACCTTGACTCAAGGGCACTAACAACAAAAAACTTGTCCCTGAAATGTTTTTTATCTGGTGCCTTACATATGAAATATATGGACTTATGTGCCACCACTCCTGTTTTATTTGGATGGTGATTACTATCAGGTTTAACTGCTGATTAAAACAACTCAGGGAGCTTTTTTCAAGGTCCCACCCCACCCCAGAGATTTCTGATTCAGGAGGACTAGGGTGGAGCCTGGGAAACTTGTTTTTTAAAAGCTTCCAGATGGTTTCAGTGAGCAGTTCATTTTGCAAACCACTGCCTTACACCAATCAGTTCTGTTTCAGTGAAAGTGAAGAGAATTCAGGAATCACGAGCAGACAGGCACAGGTACTAGGGTGCAGAATTGTGCTGTTCTCATTTGATCTAAAAGTTCTCAATATGATCAGCCTGAAAATCTGACACCACTGTTCTCTTTAGAGAACTCTCATACATTGATAAATGTTATCTTTTATTTCCATATTTCTGGCACCTATTCCCATCTTTCATCTAGTTCCTTCCCGATCGTCACTTTGGTATCAGTAGTCAGCTTGATTTTGCCATATCCAACGATGGATGTTCAAGAGAATCAATTGGGGATTTAAAAAAAGGTTTTTTTACCCATGCCCTGACCCTACCCTCTAAAGGTTTTTCGTTGGTCATTGTTAGTTGAGTTTAGGGTTTGTGTAAAGTATCACAGGTAATTCTGATGTGCATTCCTCAATGAGAGCACTCCTTTATTTGTTACTTCTTCCCTGACACCCTCAATGGAAAAAAATATTCTGCTAAGACAAGTTAAAGATGTAGCAAAACCCTAAACAGGTCTTATGGTAAACATTTTTATTTCCTTAGTGCAGAAGCAGAGGAGGAAGTACGACATTGTGTTTTTAAATGGTTTGGTTCAAGGTATTTTAAGCTGTTCCTAGTGATGTCTTACCAAGTGTGCTATAAATTATCCTTTATTATAAATCCAGATAGAAGAGGAGTTATGGGAAGAAGAATTTATTGAACGCTGTTTCCAAGAAATGCTGGAAGAGGAAGAAGAACATGAATGGTTTATTCCAGCTCGAGATCTCCCACAAACTATGGACCAAATCCAAGACCAATTTAATGACCTTGTTATCAGTGATGGCTCTTCTCTGGAAGATCTTGTGGTAAAAAGTTATTTTTCATCTTTTTAAAACCTAGCTCATCTTTCCCATAAGTGGAAAAGCCAGCAACCATCTGTTTAAGAAGAGTTCCACATCTCTTCCCCTTCAGAAATTATACTGCTTCTTACTATGGAAGCAGAGGCCTCCCAGTCTCACTTGTGACATGGAGTGACTTCCGGCAACACTCTGGAGCTAGTCTGAGACCACCAACAGACTTCTTGCCACTGCTTTTGGTTTTGATAAGTATGTTGCCCTAGGATACTTAAATATCTTAAGGCATTAATCCGAAAGGAGTACACAGTGTGTCCACGTGACTGACCTATACAAAAGTATCTTGATAGGTTTTGCTCTTTAATTTTGTCTTAAACTTTTTGTGAAATTTGCAAATTTTTGTCTGAAAGGTAAAATTTTGGAGATTTTTTTCCTGACCTAGGAATTTTCATTGAGTTACCCTAACTTCACTGAGAACTGTGATTTAATAAGGACTTTTACAAGCTCTTGGCAGAAAAGGAACACAAACCTATTTGCATTTTTAGTCCTTCTCAGTGTCTCATTGCTAGTGTCTCATTTGTAGTAAAAAGTTTTTTCGGAACTTGTGGTAACTATATGTTAGTACTAGAGTAGAACCTGAGGAGTCCTTCACTAAAATTAAGATAAAGTCAGAATGTTAACCTTTCTGTCTATACTGACAGTCTCTAGTTGCTTCTACAAGATAGTTCTCTGCAATTTACCCACTACACTCTGAAGTATTTCTTGCAGTTGTCTTCTGTTCATTGTGTAGTGATTTCCTAACCTGGCTATACATCATAATTACTTTGAAGCATTAAAAACAAAAATAAGTTCTTCACCTATATCCGAGACCTGCAGAATCAATCGCCTAGGCATGTTAACTTTTAAAAAACACTCTAGAGGATTTATTATTCAGCCGGTGTGCGCTGTCAGGCATTTGGAAACCATTCTTTTAAAGGGCTGCATAGAGAACGCTGAATTTTACATTGTGGTATAGCCTTTGTTGCTGTAAATGACAGTAACCCAGTTGAGCAGATGTGTAATCTGAATAGTCTGTTGGGATATGCTTGCTTATGGCTACATTAATCACTCCACAAATGATCCTGGTTTCCCTGATGAGTAAAGCCCTTTGCAGGGCATAATGTGTAACTTTAATCTGGACCCCGAGGGCCGGCCAGGTGGGGCAGTGGTTAAGTTCGCACATTCCACTTCGGCGGCCCGGTGTTCTCCGGTTTGGATCCTGGGTGCGGACATGGCACCACTTGTCAAGCCATTCTGTGGTAGGCATCCCACAGGTAAAGTAGAGGAAGATGGGCATGGATGTTAGCTCAGGGCCAGTCTTCCTCAGCAAAAAGGGGATTGGTGGCAGATGTTAGCTCAGGGCTAGTCTTCCTCAAAAATAAGAATCTGGACCCAGTATAATTCCATTGTATAGAAACTGGTTTGTTCAACTCAGTCTGTTTGAGATTACTTGAATTCCTTCTCTTTCTTTTGTAGCTGCCAAAAGATTGCACATTCAAGAACAGTGCATTTTTATTTAAACCTGACACTTTTAAAGTTTAGATATATTTCCCTTGAGAGAGGGGAGAATATGTCCTGTCCAAGGAAATGATTGTGTATAAATTATGAAGCTAAAATTAAATTATTGCTCCAACATGTTTAATATGCTTTGGTCTTGAAGTATGTGACATAGAATGGTCAGATTCAATCTGAAAGCCTGCCAGCATGCCTACATTTCAGGCCCTGGAGTCTGTCCTGGTTTCTTTTCATTTTTACAAAGTTGCATTCCAGGATGTGGTAGAGGAAAATTTCTAGCTATTCACTATTGCTGACACGTCTGCTTAGGAAAGTAAAGATTTAGAGACAGAGAATAATGGTGGCACAAGTCTTTGAGGGTCTTAGAGATTTTGGCCCATTCTTCCCTTTTTTTGAAAAACTGATGCGAAAACGTAGTCCCAGAGAGAGTGACTTATCCAGGCTTACATAGGAAGTTAGGGGCTGGGTTTCCGACTTAGGTCTTCTGACTCCCCATGTAGTTTTCTTTTCCTGTTATATACCATGCTTCCTGTAGGAATTAGAATACAGAAACTGTCGAAGGACAACTCCATATTTTCAATGAGTATCATAAAGTAAAATTAATTCGTAAATAGTTCCCCAGTCACTTTAATCATTTCCACACTTGTTTAAAATTTTTGCATAGTATGAAACTGTTTAAAGAAAGTCAAATATCATAATTAAATGAACAGAATCCTCTGTTCTGTGATACTCCTTTAGTTTATGTGAAGTTAGTGGATTTCTAGTTACACTTAAGCAAATTTAATTTCAATTTCTACTTTCTCTTAAGAAAGTTGACAAAATTTGACACATATATATAGCTTACATCTGGTTCCTCCTCTCCCTGCCATATATTTTTTGGGTTAAGTTTAACCTTACAATCTGAGTTCCTGTGTTTGTCTTATATTTTTTGGAAGATGTTTTTGCATGTGGATCTGAGTTGAATGCTTCTGAGTATCTGAAGCCATCTGTTAATGAACTTGCTTTTTTATGTGCTTATTTTCCAGGTCAAGAGCAATCTGAACCCAAATGCAAAGGAGTTTGTTCCTGGGGTGAAGTACTAAAATATTTGAGTAGACGGGGCCCTCTTTTGGTGGATGTAGCACAATTTCCACACTGTGAAGGCAGTATTAGAAGACTTAATTGTAAAAGCTCTCTCTTGTCACTGTGTTACACTTATGCATTGCCAAAGTTTTGTTAGTCTTGCATGCTTAATAAAAGTGCTGAGACTGTTATTAAGTAAAAAGCTGTCAAACATTTACTGAAAATAGAATTGGCCCCATGACTTGATGTGAAGACAGCGAGGAAAGAAGCACCAGTCAAGTTGTGATAAAGCACCACATTAAATGACCTCTAAATCTTAGTGAATTGTCTTTTTTAGACTAAACTGGTCCCTTATGGTTAACTAACACTTGTTAATGTCTAAACTTTTTTTAAATGAGTAAATTAAGTTTTAGTTGCTAAGCGGACTTCTCAGTTAAGACTTAAATTTGCATTTGTCCCATCAAAAAGAATCTCCTTTTTCTGAAGAAGGCTTGTTAGTTAATTTGAAATAATTTATTACAGACAAGTATGTCTTTGGTTACTGAGGTTACAAGGTAGTGATCAGATGAGAACTAGTTCTGGCTTTTATGGTATGTTATCATGTAAGAAATCTGAATTCTCCTAATGTTACATCTGAGGAAGTATGTGATTTGTGAATTGCATCTTCTTCGAAGGAGTCACTATTGTAGCTATGCCTGAGTGAAGTCTAACATTTGACCAACCCATAATCCAGTTGAACAAAGAAATTGTGACATATGATTTGAGTGGTGCTTTTCCTTGCTTTGTTAACCATCACTACAATAGTCTACAGCACAACTTTTCTTTTAACAAAGCTAGAACAGTTTTGGCTTCTTAAACTTCATATTTGGGTAGGTTAAGCTGCCATACGTGTTCAGTGTGAATAGTGTTTAAGTTGAAAATATTGTAAAAAAATTATATTTTTTCAAAAATATTTAAAAAAATAAATAATAGTAGAACTGAGCTGATGGTTGTGTTTATTGGTGCTGGATTACAGACTCTCCAGTGGGGATACTCACTTTAGTATGGGCTCAGTACCTTACTACAACCCTACTGGCAAGATATGCTGAGAGGGCAGGCTTTATTAGATTCCATGGTGTCAAGTATGTTATGCAAGTATCTGTCCAAAATACACTAGTAAAATAAACCCCAAAGCCCCTTCCATAACCCACCTTGAGTGCCTCTGGCTGCATTGTCAGGGCAGTTGTGGATATCCATGTTAAGAAACTTTTTCTCTGACCAATATAATGATAACCTTACTCTAGTATAACCTCCATTGGCTTCTGCCATTAACAAGCCATTGCTGGTCTTAATTGGGCTGGTTTGCTGTTTTGATTCACCTTGACCTCTTTTCCCTCTCACAAACTTATTTATAATGTGTTTGTGACTAGTCTTTATTTGGTATAGGCTGTCAGCCAACTAGCCAGTTCCTGGTTCCACATACAGTTCTGCCTCATGGCCCTCACTTAGTTGTTGATAATGTCTTCTGTACTTTTCTTGGGCTTGTTAGTCTCAAGAAGATTAAGAAAGCCATGTAGTCAGTTCTGGCTCACATTGTCCCTAGGTCCTTTGATGTAAGCACCTGTGTCCCAGTGTTTTTTAAAAGCCACCTTAACAAACTAATAAACAGGTAGATTTATTAAGAAACTCTGAGGCTGAGATGACCCTGCTTGGCTCTCTTTCTTTTTGGAGCTGTGATACAACCAGTTCCCTCTGTTCTCTAACAACTCAGTACCACAAGTGGCACAGCAGACTGCCACATATCTGAAGCTCACAGATCCTTTCCCTCTGAGCTCACACAGGGGCAAATGAATGAGTTCATTTCCACATACTGTCAAATTATCAGTGCAGTATAATCGGAGATTATAAACTTGAATTAGGCATTGTAACCTAATGATTAAGAGCAAGACTAGCCAGACTTCTGGATGTGGATCCAGTCATCGTGGGCAAGTCACTTAACCTTTCTGTGCCTTAGTTTCCACCTCTTTAAAATGGTAATATTAACAGTATCCATCTCAGGATTGTGTAATTAGTTCATATACATCAAGCACTTAAGACAGTCCCTGGCACATAGGAAGTTCTAAGTGACTGTTGTTATTACTGTTAAGGAGTCATCTAGGCTGAGTTCTCATTTTGTTGGAAATTGTCTGTCTGAGGGAACATGCACCCACATTAAAACTACGTTGGTGTTTAACTAGAGAGCCAGGCATCTGCCTTACAAGTAGAGATGGAAAGGTGCAGAGCATCAGCTACTCTTTTTGAAGCCCTTGGGATGGATAGATGACCCTATCAGGACCTATATGGCATAGTTTTAGGGTAACTGAAGTCATTCTATTTTCATGGGAATTTTATTTTATTACCACTATTGAAACAAGGCAGCTTATATCAGGAGATTTTTCCTGTTCTTGTGTCAATATTTGTCAACCTTTTCCATGTCATAAAGTGATATTTGTTTAGTATACTTGAGTGCAAGGATGGGGCTGCCTGTGGCTGGAGTTTATGGCTCATGAGCTCCAGCTGACCCAGTTTCTGCTCAGATACCCAGAAGGCTGAAGCGATCAATATTTCAGCACACTTGGAACCTCTTAATGGCCCGCACCAGTTGGGAAGTTCCACTCTCACTAAAATGGCTAAGGAATTCCACCTGAAATCCATATATTGACTTTTCACCCAGTCTACCTTCCCTTTAGGACAGTCAAATAGGTCACAAAAGTGGAAACTGAGTAGTTTAGTTTTTCTTTGGTAAAAGCATAAAGATGATGGGGCTGGCTCGGTGGCGCAGCAGTTAAGTTCGCACATTCCGCTTCGGCTGCCCAGGGTTCGCTGATTCGGATCCCGGGTGCGGACATAGCACCTCTTGGCAAGCCATGCTGTGGCAGGCGTCCCACATATAAAATAGAGGAAGATGGGCACGGATGTTAGCTCAGGGCCAGTCTTCCTCAGCAAAAAGAGGAGGATTGGCAGCAGATGTTAGCTCAGGGCTAATCTTCCTCAAAACAAAAAGCATAAAGATGTGATTTTTCAACCCCCCCACAAAAGTCATAGACTAAACACACATCCTACCTTTCCTAGGAGTAATTTTTCAGACCTTGGTGCACACAGACCCAGTTTCTGTATTTTCTGGAGTGTCTTCTGGAACTGGAAGCTGGCCTTTTGACCTTGAAGAAAATCCTTTGAAGACTGGGCAGATAGGAATGTATTTCAGAAAGGCAATCCTTTTTACCATGCTCATTCCAAAGGGGAAGTCATAGCTCTTGAGGCTGGTAGATGTTTCACTGTTCGCATGGGCCCCAGCTTTCCACTGTATCAGACCTCGTTCCTCTGGGCTCCCTGGAAAAGGGTGGTAGGGTCACTTACCAGGGCTGGCAACCCTCTACTACCTCCCCATAAGCTAGCCCTGAGGCAAACCTCTGGAATCAAGTGTCTTGATTCTGAAATACCTTCTGGTCCTAAAAAGCTGTTGAATCCATGATTTCTCAGCTCGTAAACTGGCCTGAGATCTAGGGAACCTTAAAGGATACTGGTTATAATTAGCATTTATTGCATATCTACAGTGTGCCAGGCTCTGTGCTAAGTGCTTTAATTTCATTTTCTCCTTCAAAACACCTGTGAGAGGTCTATAGGCACTATTCTATAAAATTTTATGATGAAACAAATTTTGAGTAATTAACCTACATCTTGAGTGTGGAGCTAATGTGTGCTGGGCCCATGGGGACCAAATAGTGCCCAGACTTTGCTGTGGGGGCAGAGAAGTATATTTAGAAACACTATATTAATATTCAATATTATGATTCCAAGTTTGGAAAATAAACTCATTTTTATAATACCTGAGAAATTCAAACTAAGAAAATCTTTGGTGGTGGTAGTGATAGACACGAGATTTTTTTTTACAACTAGGGAAATTCTCCCTTAGGAGGTTGGGGAGGGGGGCATGAAATCTCTGAGGTTTTCGCAAGAGGGTTGGGGTTGACGAAGACTGACATACCGTAAATCTAGTAGAAAGAGTGAGATTTCCACATGTTGGCAGCCCAGGCTGACAACCCCATGAGTAATGCAAACAAAATGTATCCCAAAATCTCAAGAGTAGAGGGCCCTGAGAGAGGGCTGGGGTCCTCAGGGAAGACTACCTGGAGGAGGCACTATCTGAGCTGGGCGGGCTGCACAAAGAGCACAGGTGAGCAGAGGAGGGGGAAGAGCTGTAGGTGTGGCACAGGACTGTGGTGTCTGATCACCCTGCCCCCCTCACACAACAGCCGGCCCAGAGCTCCCTCGCCTACCCTCCACATCCCTACCTGCAGACCCTCTCTGGTGCTTCTCCAAGTCCCTTCCATTCTCCTAGGCCCCATCTAGTCTCATCCAGGAAGCCCCCTAGGTGACTCCAGCCCGGGCTAATTGACCTTATTGCTCTAAATTGCTTTAAACCCTGTTTTACTTCCTATCTCCTGCTAGGAGCTCCTCAAAACAAACTGTAACTTAGACTCTTTTTTGCACATCCCCTTCAGTGTCTAACCCAAGGCCAAGCTGGTAAGCCCCACCAGAAATTGCTGAACTAAATTGCCTGCCCCTCTAAAGTTGGGCTGTGGATGGACAGAGAGAAAGAGGCAGTGCAAAGTGGCTCATCAGCAAAGTGTGCCTATCACAGAGAAGCGAGCTATGTGATTCCATGGTTAAGGACAGGGTTCTGAACCAGCCAGACCTACATTTGAACCCAGGTTGTATGACCTTAAGCAAGTGATTTAACCACTCTGAGCTTCAGGTTCGCCCTTGGTACACATTGAAGGACCATTGAATATTACGTAGCGTAACACGTACAATGATCCCTGGCAGCGTTGGTTACTAATGAGCCGTTGTTTTGGTTGAAGGATGGGGATGTGAGGAACTCAGGCAGTCTGAGGCTGTTGTTAACATCTGGGTAGCTTAATCCAGCTACCAGAATCACAAGCTCTTCAGTGTACAGCTGCCCACCTAGATGCCCTCCTTCTCCCTGGATTCCCTAGGCATTGAGGCTGCCACTTCCCTGTCTCAGGTCCACAGGATGGGCTGCTCCAGCCCCCAGCCCAGCTTCCTCTAAATGGGGAGGGGTGGGTACCATGATCAGGTACCACCCATCCATCCAAGGGGTAGCTGATACCAAGAGCTCCCTCATCTGATGCTGTCTAAAATTCTTAAAAGTGCCAGGGATCCCTAGCCCTTCCCTGCCCAAACTCCATCCCACCAGCTGTGCACAGCCAGCTTCTGACTGCTGTGCTCAGAATAGACACTTGTATCCTTGGAGAGAGGGAAGCAAGTGCGGCCTGCTGCTATGTTCAGGCTGGTAAGTGGTGGGGGATGGAGGGCCATCATCCTGCTACTCCCATCCCTCATATCCCTGGATTAATGCAGTCTTTAACCCCTTGTCTCCACGGAGATTTCCCTGATCTTCCAGTTGCCCTAAAACCCTCCAGCAGAGGCAGTGTGGTACAGTTGTTGGGACACAGGCCATGGACTGACTGCATCAGATGGACTTTGTTAAAATCCCAGATTTTCAACGTGTCACTTAACCTCTCCAATTCTGTTTCCTCAGATAAAATGGTGTTGATGGTCTCTGCCCCACAGGATAGTTTTTGAGGATGAAATGAGACACTTAGCTCCATGCCTCACCCACAGATGTTTGGTAAATGTTAACTATGTTTGTTACTAGTTAGAGAAACCAGTGACATTTAGATTTTATATATTTACTGGGCACATAAACATGGGCCAGGAGGGTTCTCAGGGACCCCACAAAATATCCTCCATGATCCCTGCAAAAAGCCCTGATACTATTCTAGTAGCCATCATGACAGGTTGCTGGCATATTTGGAGTGGCTGTTGCCAACATACTGATGCTACATTTGTGTCTGTCCTACTCTAAGAAAGCAAAGGCACCCCTCAACCTGGTGGCTGTCAAGAAATGGAGAGGAAACAACTCACAAGGCCCTGAAATAACTCTCCTAGCCCCACCCTCTTCAAGACCTATGAGGCATGTCTGTGCCTCAGTCTAGCCAGTGGTCTCTCCCTCCAGCCAGTAGGCACTCCACCAGCCCAGCTGTTCCTGCGTCTCCCTGCAGGACCTGCATTGCATTGGACCTGGCCACAGCCCCAGCTAAGAGGACATCTGTTGGAGTGCATATGAATCCAGCCTAGTTCTGTGTTCCCCTCCCAGGGCTGACCCATACCTGGCACTGTGTTGTCCAGTATGAAAGCGAGGCACCCACCCACAAACATCTCCGTGGTCAGCAGCACAGTCAGAATCTGGTCCACTTCAGAAATGCCTGTGGAATAGGCCAAGGGCCAATGGGTATCATGGCTCCATGGAGAGAACAGAGCTCAGGAACTTTCCCCACTTGTGCAGCCTGCTGACTTCCTTGAGCAGGTGTGGAGATGGGACAGTACAAAACTCTGACTTTCAAGCCTCTCTGCACATCCTCTTCCATCCTTGGATTCAAATCCCAGTTTTGCCTTTTGCTACTTCTTGTCTTGGGACAAATCATTTAACCTCTCTGAGCCTCACTTTCCTCATCTGTAACATGGAGATAATATCTGTCTCGTGGAGCTGTTGCGAAAATTAAATGAGCACCTGTCCATAGAAAGTGTCTTAGTAAAGGACAGCTGTTAATTAGCCTCTCAGTTGCTAATTAACATCCAGAGGTTGTGCAGGGTTTGTGGCTCTAGCTGTGTGGAGCCTTTGAGAGAAAGGGTTGTGCTCAGAGTCGGGCCTGTCACACCTCCCGCACCCCTAGGGAGTGGAGGCACCTGTGTTGATGGCGCCGGGGTTGGAAGTCAGGTAATTGGGCAGCGTGAGCCCGAAGAACATGGAAAATCCGAGCACGAAGAGGTTGCGGGAGGAGTTCATGTCCACGAACTGCAGGTTGGACAGCCCCACAGCCGTAATCATGCCTGAGGGCGCAGAGAGGTCAGCCCTGGGAGGGGAACACAGAGAGGCTCCACCACTCCGCCACCGCGCTGCGTCCCCGGACACGCGCGCAGCACTCACCGAAAAGGGTGCAGAACATCCCCCCCAGGATGGGGTCCGGGAGCGAGGCGAACAGAGCTGTGAACTTGCCAATGGTGCCCAGGACCAGCATGATAGCCGCACCGTACTGCACCACGCGCCGGCTGCCTACCTGCCAGCGAGCCAGGGGGCGGGGCTAGACCCAGGGGGCGAGGCTGGGGCGGGGTTAGTCCCGGGGGCGGGGCCTGTTATAGGAGGGAGGCACAAATGGGCCAGGGCTTGACGCAGGGCGGGGCCTCTCAAAGACAGGGTGGGGCTAGACCAAAGCTGAGACCCCGCTTGGGGCGGGGCCTGGGGCACACGGAATGGGGGTGGGGCTTCGTGCTGCTCTGGCTTGTGGTGGCACCTTGGTAATCCCCAGGACGCCAATGTTGGGGCTGGATGAGGTGGACCCATTGCCAGTGCCCAACAGCCCTGCGATAATGCAGCAGATGCCCTCTGTGAAGATCCCTCTGTAAGGAAAGGGAGTGGGGGGCTTAGTCCAGCCTCTGCCCTGGCTTATGTTCTCCCATCACCCCATCATCCTGACTGGGCTGCTTGCCTTCTCTGGGTCTGTGCTAGCTGCAACTACCTGTCCGTAGTAATTCCCACTCCAGGCCAGAAGTAGGTCTGGGAGCCAGGAGCCTAGGTTCGAGCGCTAGTCCAGTGCCCTGGCACTTACTCCCTTAGGCGATTCTGGGCTTCAGTTTCCTCATCTGTAAAATGGGGATAATAAGGGTACCCGTCTTACAGAGTCGTCAGCAGACTGCGTAAGAGAATGCACATCCATGGCTAGGCACATGGACCATCGTTAATGACTGTAGTTTCCTTCGGACTTCATTATCTCCTCAGCTACTCGAAACACTCTGATGAGAGCATCCCCATTTCATAAGTAAGGAGAACAAGGTCTGGAGAGTTAGTGACTTGCCCAAGTCCACACCTCTGGGACTCAACTCTGTTTCTACCTTTGCTTCCTGTGTAGCCCCTGAGGGGATCAGATATTGGGGAGGGCAGGTGGGCATACCTGTTGATAGCATGTACTGGAGGGGGTGGCGCACCAGCCAGACGGGCACAAGCATAGTAATCTCCGATGGACTCAATGATGCCTGCTAGTGTGGCACTAAACATTCCCAGGACAGCAGCTGCAGTCACTGTGGGCAGGCCCCACTGACCTGGGTCATGAGGAGACAGGAGTTTGGATGCAGTGCTTCTAGGTGGGTCAGGGAGTGGACTAGGCAGGACTTGGGCAGGGGGCAGAGGAAGGGATGTCAAGCTGGGGTGGGAGCTGTACAAATAAGCTAGGGGAGCTTATTTGGGATCACTCAGAGCCATGAAGCTAGAGTGAGACTTTGAGCAAAACACCACTCTGCCTGGCACACTATATATGTGCAGCTGATGCTAGTTATGTCATCAGCTGAACTGGGGTCACTAGTGGCCTCACAGGTGGTCTTAGTTGGAGGCAGAGGGCCAAGGTGGGGTCACTCACAGGGGTAGGGGATGCGGATCCAGGGCGCAATAGACATGATGTCCCCTCGGGCGTCCGTTCGTGCCTGGAAGCCATAGGCTGTGGAGTCTGCGGGCAGCACATCTGTCAGGGTCATGATGTAGCAGAGCAGCCACACAGTCATGATGGCCAGCACAATCTGAAATGGGGTGGGGTGAGGGGTGCACTGAGCTGCCTTGGAGAGCTCAGTCCAGGCTAACCAGCCCCTACCTCCACCCTAGCCCCAGCCCTAGCAGTTGCCCCAGCCCTAGCTCAGACTCTACCCCAACACCTGCTCCAGCCCCGGGCTGGGACCTCATCTCTGCTCTGCCTCTAGCTCCCCCTCTGTCCCAGCCCTTGCCCCCCACTTTAGCCCTGGACACAGGTCCAGGCCCTGCCCTAGTCCCAGACCCAGCTGCCTGTCAGCTCCTTACGGGAAACATCTTGAAGATCTGGATGCGGAAGACAGTGAGTCCCTTTCCCCAGCAGTAGACAGGCAGCAGGAAGGTGAGGTTGCGCAGGTACTGGGAGAAGAGGATGATCAGGAGAATGGAGCTGGGGGCAGAGGCACAAGGAAGAGATGGCTGGCAGGCCGGGCTAGGGGCAGGAGCCAGGACTAAGGGGGCGAGACATCAAGTGGTTGAGGAGGCTGGGACTGGGCTAGGATCAATCCTGGTGCCTGCTCACCAAGCTGAGATACCCCAGTGGGAGCCTGCTCGGTCTCCAGCATCTTGGAAGACGGAAAGGCCAATGAGGGAGACAGTGGGGGTCACTGTGAGAGGCCCAATGTAACTGAGCAGGGCCCCAGGAAGCCCCATCAGCCCGATCACCACCTCCACAATGCTGGACACTATGATTGCACCCTGGACCTGGAAGCACAAAGATCAGCTATAAGTCACTATGTAGAGGCCATGACCTCCACATAAAAAAAAAAAGCTTCAGACCACCTCCTCGCATCCCGCAACTCATCAGTAGCTCTCTCTCCCATCTAGCCCCCTCCTCAGGTCTAAGTCTCTTCTGCCCCACATGCAAACGCACCTCTCGCATCCGTGGGTGCCAGATATGAGAGGTGTTCAGGGGCAGACTCCAGTTACCGTAGATCTCCTCTAGGGGCAGAGAGAGAGGGACACACACACGCACACATGGACAGGGAACAGAGAAGAGAGGGAGAGAATGCACACCGGTGTCTGGACTCAGGACAATCACCCAGACCTCCAAGCTCCTGGGCCTCCCCTTTCCAGCAGACCCCAGAAGTGTGCCCACCTTCCGGCGGGCATTTCCATCTCTCCAGGGCCAGGATGGCTTTGGCTGGGACCAGAAATGCAAAGGCGCTGGCCTGGAACAGCGGCAGCCTGGAAAGAGAGGCACAGAGGAATGGGGGGGGGGGGGGCCGGGGAGGGGCAGAGACACAGAGACAGGGAGACCCAGAGTGAGGGGCACAGAGGGAGGGATAGAGAGAATCACACACAGGGACAGAGCCACAGAGGGACAGAGCAGGGGCAGAGCAGAGGGAAGTCACTAAGGCCCCAGGCAGGACTCTAACATTTTCGGGGCCCAAGGAAGAAAACAAATGGAGCCCTTGGCCCACAACCTGCCCCCTTTTCCTGCTCAACACCAGCTCCTACACTGTGAGGGGCCACATGCACAAAAGTGGACAGCTCAGTTCTTGTATCGAGGCTCCACTCACAACCTTCCTCCATCCTCCCACCACACTAACAGCCATCTTTTGGCCACCCAGGTCCAGGGCTGTGCAGACAGGAGCAGGATGCTCCCAGGAGGATGGGCCATTGAAGAGCCCCACACAGGCCCTGGAAGCAAGGAAGCAGGTGGTCCTGATTACCCAGCTTGGGGCTTGATGGGAGAGCCCAGCTAGGACACATTCCCTTGAACCCACAGACTCTTTGTCCTTGAGGATTGCCAAGGGCCCAGGGTAGGACCCCAGCTGCCTGGCTCTAAGGCTGGCCTGGGATTGGAGGCAGATTCACAGCTTTTTTGTCCCATAAGAGTCCTCTGAGAGAGACCACCTGCTCCTGTTGTGTGGATTACTGTGTGTGTTGGGGGGTGGGGGTGGGGGCAGCGTGGGGCAGCTCACCGGATGCCCAGTGTGGTCTGGATGAGGGTGGTGATGCCCACACAGGTGAAGATGGTGCCGATGAGCTGGCTGACCACATGCTGGTCACGGCCCACACACATTGCCTCAGCCAAGAGGAAGGGCACAGCGATGGTGCCACTGAAGCAAGTCAGGTAATGCTAGGGGCAGGGGGGAGAGTGCATGAGGCAGGGTGCAAGGAGCTCACAGGGAAATAGGGGCACCCTAACAGTTCTCATGTCTGTCTCAGTGGGCCTGAACCCATGCCTCCCTTGGCAATGTGCCCACCCAGGACTGACCCTCCCACAAGGGATTCCCAGAGAGCTACTGCTCACCTCTCTGGGGGTTACTAATCTGACCCCAAGTTATTCCTATGCTTCTGTGGAGTGGGCCCTCTTCCCTGTCACTGACACTCAGCCTGCCTGGCAGGTGACACATGCTCCCAGGGTTAATCCTCTCTCAGGCACCATCGAGCCTTTTCCCCACCCCTGCTTGGTGACAGTCATTGTTGCTGACCTTAGTTTTCTCTTTCTGTTACCCAAGATAACCTTGTTGTCCAGAGAGGGGGCCGGGATCCTGGGGAACATGCAGAGTTGGGGTGGGAGACCCTGCAGGGAAACCCACCTGGAAGCCCAGCAGGATGCACAGGTACCAGGGCGGCACGTCCTCAATCTTGTACAACATGTCAAACTTGGACTCTGTGGGCAGGAACAGTGGAGGGTCCCCGATAGAGGTCCCGGCTGAGCCTGGGGACTCATGCTGGAGGCAGCAGAGAGAAGTAACTCAGGGTGGGGACTGGCAAAGTCCGTTCTGCCCTATAATCAATCAGGTTGCCTGAGTGGCCTGTAAGAATGAGGTCCAAGCCTGGACCAAGCCCCACCCTCCCTCATGGTTCACCCACCCACCAATCCTTGGCCTGGCTATACCCGATTCCCACCTCACATTGCCTTGTATAGGGCTGAGTCCACTGTGCTGGCTCCTGGAGCCCTCGAAACCCAGGGATTCTAGCCAAGAGAATGGGCCCCTAAATCAGGAGGTCTGAGGGGCACCAGGAGAGGGGATCAAGAGGCTTCGAGACAATGGACAGGCCCTCTTGAGCCTACTCTGGTCCCACCTCTACCCCTAGGAGGGCCTTGGGGTATCACTGAGGGGAGGATAGGTTGGGCCCCTGCTGGCCCTCAACCTGGAGTCATACAGTCACAAAGCTGAAGGCTTCTTCACCCCTACTACCATCCCCACCCCAACCCCCAATTGCCACAGTCAGCCGGGGACAGTCACTCTTGATCAAGTTCATCAGAACCTTTGTCTCTGCCCTCCCAGGGAGAAGGCTGGCGGAGGCCCTCCAGCTCCCACCCTGCCCTGCACCCACCAACTCCCACTCATCCCCCAGCACCTGTGTCCGGCCCTCGGGGTCCTCTTGGGCTCTCATCTTTGGGGCACAAGTATGTGCAGTTCCTGAAGAGAAGAAGGGATGGCTTTATGAAGGCCACGGAGGACTTTACTCCACATATCAGACATTGTTCAAAGTAAATCTGTAACCAGATCCCCAGCTCTGATTACGAAAGGAGGATCCGGGCGGAGGTCATTATTAACTCTGGCCATAGTGGTAAAGGCTGCCCAAGCCTCCACACAGTTATCTCCTGAGTCCCTTCCCTGCCGCCACCTGAGCCTGGGCACGAGACCTGTTCTTGTTTTCCAAGAGGGCCAAGTGGACAGTGAGGAGTGGACAGTCTTGGCAGTTTACCAAACCCTGGGTGAGGTGAGAGGAAAGGAAGCGGAAATGGGCACTTAGTCCATCACACTCTGCATGAAGCCCTTTCCCGCTTATTAATAACGAGTTAATCATTATCATCATCATAACCACTCTCGTTATTGAGGAATGACTACGAATGACTACGTGCCAAGCAACATCTATGTCTTGTCGTGTTTAACCCCAGACTTTGGGTGGTATTTACAGCTGAGGAAACAGATTTAGGAGATATGATCTGACCAAGGCTACATAGGTAGCAAGATGTTAGAAGACCATTCCTAAAATTTAGGTTGGCCTGAGCTCCTACTGTAAATCACACATTAAATGTGTTAAGGGACTGCCCTCCCCTCCACCACTGCTCACCCCTCAAGGTCCCTGAGGCACACAACAGATGGACCTCTAGAGAAGGAGCTGCTGAGGCTGGTCTGGCCTTGCTTGGCCCCTATGTCCCCTCCCCGCCAGGACCAGCTACATAATTTGTGGGACCTGGTGCAAAATGGAAATGCGGGGCCCCTATTCCAAAAGCGTTAAAAACTGTTAAGACAGCAACAGCAGAGCATTAAACAGAATGTGGGGCCTTTCTAAGCACTGGGCCCTGTGTGACTGCATGTCACACAGCCCCTGAAGCCAGCCCTGGGCCCAGCCTGTCTCCTTCTGGGAGGCCTGGTCCAGCCAGGCCATGGGGCCTGGAGCTGGCTGAGGGGACTTGGGAAGGGCCCCAGGCACTGAGGCTACTCAACTCGTGGAGGCTGGGCTTAAGGTCCCTGGTTCTGCTTCCTGCTTGCTGCCCCAGCCCCGGCTCCCATAGGGCCCACTTACTTCTGGGTTGCTGTACCCATGGCCAGGCCCTGTCCTCAGGGCCCAAGGGCAACACCGCTCTCCAGCTGGGCAGCAGCTTCATGCCACAGCCCTGAATCTGTCGGCCTGTCCAGCCTTCCACCTGTTCCTCTGTCCGCCTGTCCTCCCCTCTCCCTTCTTGGCTCCAGCTCCTGGATTCCCAAAGTCGTCTGACCAGTTTGAAGCCTCTAAGCTGTTCCTTAGCACTTTCCTCCCCACCTTTTCCTCCCCACCACTCTCCAGGGGGCTATGGAGACAGGGCCCCACCTCTTCCAGCAGCACAGTCCAGTAGACACTCAATTCAACCCAAACCACATACACCCCCATAGAGAGACAAGGCTGGGAAGTTGCCCATGGTCTCAGATATAGTTGCACAAATGGACCCACAACACCCGGGTTCTGATTGAGAGTCTCTCCAAATCACTCCACATAAACCTAGGGCCACACAGGGCCACATCACAGGTTCCAGCTCCACGCTGGACACTACTGATGGCTCCGCCAGTTCCTGGGCCCTGGCTCTCCTCCTGGTGCCTAGGGGTTCTCTCCTGGGCAGAATGCCAGGGAGGAGGGGCCTCGGGCAGATCAGGAACAAATGACAGACGATGGAATGTAGGGGGCTGGGCTGCAGTGCCGCTCAGAGAAGCTGCAGTGGTCAGGGCCTGCCTGGGGTACCCCCGTTCCTATAGCAACGACTTTCCCCCAACCCAAAATCTGAATCTCCTCCTAGCCCTGCCGCTGCTCAGCCTGAGACTTGGCCTGAGCCTCTGTGCTGTCTAAGCCTGGGTTTCTGTGTCTGTCAACTGGGGATTAGAGCATCTGTTCTGTCCACCTCCCACGGCTTCAGCAGATCAGAGACACACTCACAAAGGAAACTGCGAGTTGTAGCGCCATGTGACCCTAGGCTCCCAGGCCCAGGTGGGACCCAGGTGGGGCCCTTTTTTCTGTTGCTATGGAAAGGGCCCTAGGTCAGAATAATTTCTGGGGAGAGCAGGACTTAGAGCCAAGATGCTGAATCCAGCCCGTTCTGGGAACCCTGCCCTGTCCTGTCCTAGGCAGGCATCTAGGCTCCAACCATGCCAGCTGAGGACAGAGGCAGAGTTTAGGAAGTGAGCAGCCGCTGGGCATAGGCCCAGTGAGACGAGTCTTCTGGGAGGGACACAGCATGGAGCGGTTGCAGTAGGTGTGTCCACAGGGTGGTCTGCCTGTGGAGTTTTTCTTGGTTTTTCTTTTCTCTCCTGATGGATCTGGGGTTTCACTGTTCATATAACTGGTTCTCTATGCCTTTGACAGCACACTCAAATTCCAACCATGACAGATCTCACTTACCCCTGGGAAAGTGTGGGGACATGTATTTGCCCTCTCTAGGAGCGACATCAGCAGAAACACCAATGTCTGTCCTCCCAGCTGCCCAAGCACCTTTTGCAGAGAGAACGAATCCAGGTCACTGGGTTTTATTTGAGTCCAGAGGGGAAGGCCTTGGCCCCCGCCCAGGCCCCAGTGCCCTGAAGCTGGCGGAGGGAGGGAGAGTGGTAGCCTGCAGAAAGACATGGGGTAGATCCAGAGAAAGCCCCAGCTCTCTTCAGGGGCTGAGCAGGTCGAGGAAGAAGGAGCTGGACTAGAGCTCTGTCCTTGTGCCTGGTGCCTCCTTTGAGCATGCCCCCCGGGGGCCTCCACACAGCAACACCTCCAGAGCCGCTCTGCCTTGTCGGTGGGCTTCATAGATCTGGTCTTCTCCAAACTCCCCCAGGTAGTGAAAACATGTCACGGAGAGCCTAGGGGAGTCCAGCAGCAGCCTCAGACTCTGCCCAGCCCACAGTGGGGCAGACCAAGGCTCCAAGGGCTCCATCCCACCCCGTCCTCCTGTCATTACCTGGTGGGCCAGGGGCCCCCTGTGATCATCACACTGATGCCTGGCTCTGGCCCCTTGCTTAGCCCTGGGCCCGTGAGACGTTTCACCTGGTTCACTTCTTGTACCCCGTAGCTAGAGGCAGTGGGGAAGGGGCAGATATAGCATTAGTGAGAGCCTGGCCAGTGAGGGACCCATCTCCACATGAAGCTGGGAACACTGGGCATTTGCTGAGTTCAGTGCCCAGATTCTGATCCTCCTTGATGTAAAACTGAGGACCAGAGAGCGGAAGCTCCCGGTCCAAGGTCACACAGTGACCTTGTCCCCTGGCCACCTACCCTCCCACTTGCTCCCAGCTCCAGAGCTCAGACTTTGTCCCAGAGAGTCCCCTACCTTGGTCCAGAGCCCTAGTGGAGTGTGTGTGCAGTGTGAGTGGGAGAGTGAGACCCTCCACCCACCAGCACTGCCCCTGGAGGAGGAAGATAGGGCTAGATTTTCAACTCACTCCTTCCAGGTCTGGGAGCAGCTCCGGTCCAGGACGTCTGTGTATACCAACTCGCTCAGCACCTGCTGCCCCCTGGAGTCCGGGGTGTGAAGCTTGGCCTCCGCCTTTGCCAGATGTTGCCACATCTGGAACAAGGAGGGGCTGAGAGCCAGGGCTTCAAGACTCCTCAGTAAGGGGGAGGGGAGGACAGGAGCCTGGGTCTCTGGGGGTAAATGAGGTGGCAAGGGAGGCTTTTGAGCAGGAAGCACCTGGGAGGCTGACTTCATGGCCCACCCCTAGGTGCCGAAAGCTGGGACCGGGCAAGCTGAGGCAGAATCCACTTTCCTGGGATGAGGTGGGTGGGTGGGAAATGCTGAGGTGGAAGGTTAGGCCTTGGTACTGGGGCCTCTCCCCTAGGGCACACCTGCCCATCAGCACATGCTATTTTAAACCACAAGAAGGAGAAACCCAGCCCAGTCTTTAATGACACGTGTGCTGATAGGCCTCCCTCCCCACACAGAGGTCCTCAGGCATGCTTGGAGGTTTGTGTGTGAACTCAGACACACAGATAGTCACACATTCACGCACTCAACATACATGCACACAGCACACATACACCAATGCTCCCCAGTCATGATCTGGGAAGAGTCCAGACCTGAGGATATGCCTGGAAAGGGAACAGTCTGAGAGGACAAGCTGGTGACTCCCTGGGGTCTCAAGGTACTGGGGGGTGTCTCAGACTCTCTGCTCTCTGTTGGGCAGACAAATGGGTAAACTGAGGCATGGAGGTTCAGATGAGGTGAAGATGGCAATATCATGGAAGGCTGAGTCTAGTTCAATGCCTGGGGATAGGGATTTGAGGATGGAAGTCCAGTGGTGGGATCTGAGGTAGATGGAGAGGTCTGGCTTGAGGAGGGGCCTGGGCAGGGGCAGAGGAACTGCTGGGGGAGGGACTCACCTGGTAGGCCACCGCCATGCAGGCATCACAGCGCAGGTGAACAGGCATGTGAGCTGAGTACTTCTCCTCCTCATCGAGCTGTGGGGCAGTGGCTGAGAGTGGGGCCCTCTCCCCAAGGTCCCCTGGGACAGCCCAGGCCCGCAGCAGCAGCAGCAGCAGTGGCAGTAACAGCCTCATGGTCCGTGGAGCCGGCTCAGTGAGTATGGGCTGTGGTTGGGGCGCAGGTGTGCATGCGCGTGTGTGCAGTGGGGGCTGCCCCGGAAGAACTAGCCCAGACCAATGGGGAACCGACACCTCACCTCTCCCATTCTCTCCCTTCCCCCAGGGCCCTGGAGACACCATGTGCGCACCTCCTCTAGTGGACCCGGCTCCAGCCAACTCAGCTCCATTTCACAGATAGGAAACAACCAGGCAAGGAGAGGGGCTGGGCCTGGGCAAGGACACCTGGGGGCTGATACCTCCCACGTCCTGGGATCTGGCCACATGGTGAGCACTATGCTGAGTAGCTTGGGGAAGGAGGTGGTTGGTCACTGTTACCTTTATTCTACCCTTGAGGACACGAAGGCTCAGAGAGAAGTGACAAAGCCAAGGTCACACAATTAGAGGGGCCATACTGAGACTGGAACCCAAGCCCCATTGACCCCAAAGCCCACTGGCCACTCAGCCACCAGGAGGAATGAGGCCATAGGCATGGTTGCCAGCCTAAAACTCCCTGCCTGCTTAGGCTCCCTCCCAGCCTAAGGTAGGGACCCCACAGTGTTTAAAAGACACACATGGTCTCCTTCCCTGTGCCCTAGGATCCTCTCCACCCAGGCCCATACCCAGGCATGGAAGGGCATTGTAGGGAGTATCAAGGGGCCATGGCAGGAAATCAGACACCTTACACCAGTTGTTCCAGCCATCATGGCTCATTGGGTCAGTGATTTATTGAACACCAGGATGAGGTAAGGGGCCCAGGAGTGGCCCGGGGCCCTCCAAGCCATCAGAACCAGCATCTCCGGCCACAACAAGACATCTGGGTTATTCTGACTCACAGTTCTCCCAGTCAACTTCCAGTCAAGGCAAGGGGGCAGGGACTCCAAGGGACCCAGGCCCTTCAGAGGCCTGGAACTTAAGGAAGGCATCGATCTCCATCCCTAACACTGCTTCTAATGGGAACTGTTCTCCCCCAAACTCATCCCATCACATACCAGTCCAGCAAGTCCCAGCCGCTTCAAGCTCAGGACTACACACAGACCCCCACACAGAGCACCTCCCACCCCACGCATCTCCCTCTGCTCTCCTCAGCGGCTCCTAGAATCTCCAGGCAATTGGAACACAGGCTCTGGGTCCCGTCCCTTTGTATGCTGAGACCAACCTGAAGAGAGAGCCCCTCTCTGGGCACGGTTGCCACATCTGTTACTGGGGGAGTAGAAGCAGCTAAAGGCTCCAGGTCTCTCTGGCCTGCCCTACAAAGGGCATCCCTTCTACTGCCAGCCCTAACCCACCCTCACCCCACGCAGAGGGGTCAAGAGGCTCCTCTGAGGCAACAGCTCAACCATCCTCCCTGCTTGTGAATCCTTCCTGATGATTCACTTCATCTGCCCCCTGCCCTGGGTGAGAATGGCTGAAGCCCTCACTTCTGGCCTCAGGAGGAGCCAGCTCAGCTCTGAGGGCTTAGAGGAGCCAAGTCAGAGGCTGAGGTTGAGGAGAGAATGACAGATGGGGCTCCCAGCTCGAGGCTACAGCCCCCTCCCCACCCCCAACTCCCATTATCCCCACTCCAGATCCCAGGCCCACCCTCCATAGCCCCTCACATATTACTTTCCTGCTCCGTCTCCACCTGCTGTCCCCACAGATCCCTTTCTCAGACCCAGCCTGGCCTGGGGGCTACACTAGCTACTTTCCCCAGAGCCTCCCAGGCCAAGGCTCAGATCTTCTTCCAAAGAATAACAGATTTGATAGCCAGAGTCCTTCTCCTTCCATCTCACCAGTGCTCACTAGCCTGCACATCGCTGGGCCCACCTTCAGGGAGGGACAGACTGCTCACTACCTCTGGGGACAGTCCTGTCCCTTGCTGCTCCCATTTCCTGCTGCCCCTCCAGAACCCCAATATCCCTTCAGGTTGGCTCCTGGGGACATGTCCTGGGACTCCTCACTTTTACACACACACACAAACACAGCACTCTGGGAATGCTTGGGAAAGGGGTACACAATTTTGTTGGGAGAGGAAGTAGGCAGCCACTTCCTGAGCTCCAGCTCCATCAGCCCCGGGTGTCTCAGATACATTGTCTGAAGGTAACTTCTGGGCTGAAGATGGCATGGGATGGGTAAAAGAAAGAGGTGATAGAAGGAGAGGAGGGCAGGGGACAGGATGCCAGAAACTCCAAGGGTGTCAACAGGCCCCAACACCATGGGGGTCAGGCCCTGGGGCCTCACCCAGGGAACAAGGAGCCCTTGCCGGGCTGAGCAGGACCGAAGCTGGAGGGTGGAGCACAGAGGAGCAGAGGAGGCGCGGGGCTGGGGGTCCCACTCACTGGCAGGTAGTACATCCCTTCCAGGGGGCTTGCCTCAGAGGCCCAGGGTAGCTGGGGGCCGCTGAAGGACGGCGGGCCCGGGGATGGAGGCAGTGAGAGGCCAGGGATAGGCCCATAGGCGGGCGGGTAGAGATTGGGGCCCAGGGCCAGCGGGGTGTAGACTCTGCGGGTTGGCCCCTGGGGCGAGGGCGGCAGCAGGACCTCCACGTACTGCCCGCTTTCGGGGTCAAAGAGCAGCCGCAGTCGAGGCTGCCGCGGCGCCTCCACAAAGTAGTAGCGGCCGCTCTCGGGGTCCACCAGGACCTTCCCCGGGCGCGCGGCTCCAGGCAGCCTGCGCGCCCTCTGGGAGGGGCCTTCCGAGTACCTGTCCATCGGAGGCGCGGAGGCAGCGCGGGCCTGGGGCGGGGCCGTTCTGCCCGCCGACGCCTGGGGCTCCCGCGGGAGGGGCGACTGGACCGCAGTCGCGGGCTCGGGGGCCGAAGGGGTTGTCTCCAGTTTGGGTGCTATCCCAGGGCTCGAGGTAGGGTGCGCCTGCGGGGAGCTGGGGCGGGGTGGTCGGGGAGGTGGGGCCCCTGCTGGCCCTATGGGCGACTGCTGGGGTGAGAGGCGAGCGCTGCCCAGAGGGCTGGTCCGACCCTCGCCGTCCGGAACGAGGCGCTGGGCCTCAGCCTCCCGGTTCTCTCCACCAGGACCGCGGACCAGGACTCTCCGGGTTCCCTCCGGCCGGCGGCCCAAGGCCAGGGCACCAGGTAGGCGGATCTCAGTGCGCGCGAAGGGTTTCGCCGTGCTGTTCTCTGCTCTCCGCCGCAGAACTCCGTTGGGCTGCGAAGAGTCCCGGGAGACTGTGTCGGGGGACAGCTCTGGGGGCTCATAGGGGTGCGACACGACCGGCAGAAAGTCCTTGAGCAAAACGGAAGTGTAGTGTGCTGGGGCGGGGGACCCCAGCTCCCGGAGCTCTTGCGTCTTGGACGCACTGCCCTCCTCCCCGCGGGGGTCCGCAGGAGGCGCAGGCAGCCCTGAGCCTGGGGTTCCTGCCGGGAAGCTTGGCGCGTATGTGGTCTTCACCATCTTGCGCACGTCGCGGGGCCGCGGAATGGCCACGCGCGGCCGTCCCGAGGCCGCGTCTCCAGGGCCCAAGGCTTTCCGGCGCGCATTGGCATCCATGGTCCCCATGAGACAACTGAGAGGCAGCTCGGGTGCAGCCACCTGTGGTGATGGCTGACTGCCGCGGATGGCAATAGCCGGCATCTCCCGCGTGGACGGACTCTGCGCCTCCGTGAGCTCTAGAGTCCCGGGTGCGGAAGGCGTGGGCGGCGCCAGTTCCTCCTGGGCTAAGCCATTCACAGTTTCCCGCGTAGATACTACCGATGAGCCCTGCACCGTGGGATCCCAGGTCTCTTGGGGCGACGGGCTCCACGTCCCAATAGGGCGGTCTGGAGCCTCCCATGAGGACAAAGCCGGCGGGGATGGGCTCCTACTCCCCTCTACGGTAGCCTTGACTGCCGGATGCGGAACCTCCCACTGGGAAGGAGCTTCGGGGGATGGGCTTCTTGCCCTGTCAACATCCTGAGTCCACTGGGAAGGGGTCGGAGGAGAAGGGCTCCTTCTGCTGACAGTTTCCTTGACGGCAGGATCCTGATTTTCCCATGCGGAGGATGCCTTGGGGAACGAAGGGCTATTCGCCCTCCGAATAGCCCGATTCCACGGGGACAGGTTCTGGGGAGACGGACAATGAGGACCCTGCACGGTCCCATTTGGAGCCTGCCACAGCGGGGACGGGCTCCTCGGCCTCACAGCCTTACTTGGAACCTCCCAGGGGGTCCTAGACTCTAAAGGCGGGCTCTCTGCCCTCAGGACGGTTCGATCCAGAGTCACTCGCGGGAACTGAGTCTTAGGTTCTTGGTTGTGCGCCTCCTGGGTCTTCTCCCCTGACTGCAGGAAGATGCTGGAACTAACCGGACCCAGCGGCTCTGTCCCGGGCGCCGGCTTGTCGCGCCGAATTGCACGCTCGCGGAGGCTGGGCCACGGCCGTGGGGTCCTGGCGGAGGTTGAACTATAATGCACGCGAGGTGGCCGAGACTTGGCCTCCTCCGGGGCCACTCGAGTACTGCGGGCCGTTTCTTGGGTCGCAGGCTCTGGCCGTCCCGTGGGTCTGAAGGTGGCGCTGTTCGGGGCAGCGGTAGTGGTGGGGCTCAGTTTTCTGGCCAGCACCGTCTGCACGAGGCCCGCGGCGGCCTGCAGGCGGCCCAGAGACTCGTCCAGGGAGCCGGTGCGCAGAAGCAGTCGGGGGCGCGGCGCGTCGGCCTCCCTCGGGGGACTCCGGGGCCGGGGGCGCAGCTCGATCTGACGCTTGGGCACCGTCCGGGGCCTGGCGGGAGCGGCACGCTCCTCCAGCGCCACCTCCACACACTCGAACTGCGCTGGGGTGGCAGGACTCGGCCGCAGCTCCAGGTAGGTGGCCCAGCGGGAGCCACCGTCGGGGGCCTGGGGCTGAGGTGCGGCGGGGGTGGGAGACGCGGCCCCGGGCGGAGAGAGGCTGCCGAAGGCCCGCGCCGTGAGCTGTTCCACCTCGCTATCCGCTGTGTCGGAGCGGCTGAACAGGGGCCCGGCGCCGAAGATGACTTCCATCTCCCCCGACGGCAGCATGCGCAGCTGGGGCTGGGGCGGCCGCGGGCCCGAGCGCGGGCCTCGCGGGAAATCCGAGCCGGGCCCGAGCTGCTGGCGGCTATTCTGGGCGCTGACGGACAGGCGAGGCTGCACGCCCGCCCCCAGCGCAGGGGCCACTCCGGGCCAATTCGCCCGGCCCTCCGCGTCCGGCCCAACGTCCGGGGGCTCTGGAGAACCCGGAGCCGTGTAGTAGGAGCCTGACGAGCCGGAGGAGTCCTGGCGCCGCGCAGGGGCAGCAGGCAGCCGCCCTGGGAGCCCCGGCAGGGCTGGCGGGGAGAGTGCGGTCAGCATGGTGGGGCCGGACGCGGCGCACTCCCTCCCTCGCACTCGCCTCCGCTGCTGCTGCGGACGCCCGCACTGTCCCCGCCCCGCCCGCGGATGCCGTGGGGTCACCCCGCCTTAAAGTGGCCGCATCCACTCCCGAGCCAGCGGCGTCGGCAGCCAGAGGAACCTGGGCCCTGGGCCTTACCCTCCCACCCCCTTCTCCTCTGGCGCCGGCTGGAGTGCCTGGGGTGGCGCTTCAGGCTTTGGCTGACAGAAAGGTGAGGGGAAGGCAGGCCTCCAGCTTGGAACCAGAACTAGGCCCAACTCCACTCATCACAGGTGAGGAAACTGAGGCTGAGTGGGGACCTGCCTGAGGTCAAGCACTATGGCAGGTGGATCAGAGTGTGAGCCAGGGGACCAGACCTGAAGGCCAGGCAACTCAGGTCTTACTAGCAATTTCATCTTCCCCCTGGCCCCCAGCATCTTCCCATCATCACTGTGCACCCGCCTCTCGGGACCTCTCATCACCTCTCCCAGCTAGAGCTCAGAAGGGTGCACCCACCACCTTCCTTGACCTGTCACCCCATAATCTTTGATAGATGAGCATTGCTTGGAGGGCTCCCCGACTCCAAAATTTGTACTGGGGCCTCAGGAAGGTGCTATCCCTGGCTGGACCCATTGCCTTTAGTGGGAACCTATCGGAAGGAGCTGGAGAGGACAGCTCTAGCTTTTACAGGCTGCCTTAGCAACTAGAACAAGCCATGGAAACTGATGTGGGGTCTCTTAGGAATCTTTAGGGTAGCTGCGGTCCCCTCTTTAAAGCTCTGAGGCAGGAATAGCCCTGTGCTCCCCCAGGCACTCACAGGCTCTCACTCTAGGCCCCACAACCTCAGGACTTGCCCTGGGAACAAGCGCTGGTGGGGAAGCAGCCACCACCTGTCACTGTCCTGGGACAATGACAATGGGCACCACTTGCCCTTAAACTTCTGGCTTCAAGGTCCTGCTATGACTCAGGGACCTTGGAGCAAGAGCACTGGCCCCTCCTGCATTCATCCTCATGCTGACCCAGGAAAGACTAGACTCGACAAATCTGACTCAGCCTTCTCTGAGTGGGGCCCCTGCCTGGGTGTGTCCCCACGATCACCTAGCCATCAGTGATGGCTTCTGAGAGGATCAAGCCTGTCCATCACATCCAGCCCTGCATGCAAGTCATAGTCCCTTCATAGACTGTTTTCCTACCTTAAAAATAGTGTTTTCCTTTTCCCTTCCTCCCATTTGTGAAGCCTGATAAACTTGTGTTTGGGGGAAATGTAAGAAGGTACAAATGTGATTCACAGGTATAACATTCCTGTTATGTGATTTTCCAAATTCATTGTGGTCCTGGAACCCACTGTCTTTGAAGTCTGCTCAGGGCTTCACACACACACACACACCTCTTCCTGCTCTATAGCCAAGTTGGGAGAGTTAAATTTATCAAGACACTGGGAGTGGGGTGAGGTGTTACTGGGGTAACCAGGGCTGTTTATACAGGGAGGGATTAAATACAGAGAGTAAAAAGGGACACTGCCGACTAGACAACAATGTAGTCCTGCCCTAGGCTACAACCCCATAGCCCCACGACTACCCAAGGGAGAAAGGGAAGTAGCAGGGGCTGAGGGCTTAAGCAGTATCCTCTTCTGAGCCTAAGAGTGGCCTAGAAGGTGGTGGTCCAAGGCCTGTTCCCCACCCAGTCCCTGATAACTTGATTCTCGCTTAGGTCATGGAGGCTCAGGAGGCAGGCAGGAAGGAAGGAGAGTACCTTTTGCCTCTTCCTCTACCCCTTCCCTGAGGGCCAGGCCACTCATGAGGCCTGGGTTGTGGGGGGACCCACAGGATAGGAAGGTTTGGGATGGGGACCCCGACAGCAGAGAAGGCAGAGGTCGGGCATTACAGCCAGAGAGCAGGAAGGCGACGACCATTTTATTTTTCCCTAGGACGCCGCTGGCTCCGGGCCTGACGTGTCCCCGAGGTTTTCTTATGCTTCTGGTCCAACACCTGGGTCATGTAGTTCTCCTGCTGCTTCTGGATCCGGAAGTCAGACATGTGATTCCTGCAACGGAGCTGGCTGGGCGTGGGCTGGGGACAGCGCAGGGCAGGGGCCAGAGGTCTGGCTTCCTGCTTCCATCAACAACCCCCAGCCTGGCCCGGACCCCTCACCTGAAGATCTGTTTCTGCTGGCTGATAACTTGCTGCAACTCCTTAATCTCATTCTCTTTGCCATTAAGTATATCTTCTTGCTTTATAATGTGAGACTCAATTTCTGTGGGGGAGAGAGGCAGGGAGGAGGAGTGGTTCCCATCCCACGGGCTCCTTCCTGAGATAAAGCATTCTCTCATGAGTCTTTTCAGAACCTGGCTCCCCCTACCCAGGGGTTCTCCATGAGTAGTTGCTAATACTTTAGTAAGAATGAGTTTATTATGGAGTCTTGACAGGTTGGTGGTGGGGGCACAATGTCTGATGACTGTGTTAGTGACTTCACAATTCTATTCTGGACCAGGTGACTCACATGAGGACAGCCTCGCCCAAAAGCAGGAGGATGAACAGCTCCTGCCCTCAACTGCAGATCTTTACAGATGTCACCTCCTTGGCAAGAACCTTCCTAGTCTAAAATTACAATCCTTCCTAATAGTTCTATCCTTTTTTCCTGCTTTATTTTTCTTCTTAGCACTTGTATCTAACATACCATATATTTTACTCATTTTGCTTCTTCCCTACTAGGATGTAAGGTCCACAAGGACAAGGATTTTTGTTTTCTTCATTGCTTTAACCCTAAGGCCTAAAACAGTCTCTGGCACACAGTAGGTGCACAATAAATTTATGTGCGGAATGAATGAACAGGAGGTCCCTGGGGGGTTAGGACTTAGAAACATCACCTAGTTCAGTTATCTCAATCCACCCAGACCTACTGAAGGCCAGCTGGACGCCCAGCCCTGTGCTAGGGCTGCAGGGGAGAAGACAGGGTCCTGGCCTTCAAGGAGGCAGCTCCTAAAAGGAGAGTTAAGACGCAGGAACTGATCAGAGAACAGAACAAGGCGACATTTCAATAAAGTTAATATTGATGAGACAGTATTATCACTTTGGGCAAGTTGCCTCCTTTTTCAGACCCATTTCCTCCTCTGTAAGATGGAAACAGAGACAGCCCCTATTCCACAGCTGGTGGGAGGACCCAGGGAGATGGTGGCAACCCTTACCCCCAAATTAAGTGCTCATTAGATGCAAGGATAATTTTTGTGTCTTGGGTCAAAATCCAATGAAGCTGTAGGGATCTGGGGGGGCTTTATTTACATAACTGTCCCCCAGGAAGCCCTGGAAAATTCTGATCCTCACAGGAAGAAAATTCTACTGCCTTTAAAGATGGGACAAAGATTAACTAGAACACAAGCTCTGAAAATGCAGAAATAGTGAAGCATGTTTCAGAAGAGATGGTAAAAAGTTAAGGTACAGCATGGAAAAGAGGAAAGAAACAGAGACACGGCTGAAGGAAGAGAATGAAGAGCTGAGCTCACTGGCTCAGAGGACCAGGCTGACTGAACCTTCTTCCCCAGGTCATCCAGCTAATCTGGACTGATTGCTTGTGAAGTTCTTTTGGGAAAAGGCATCAGAAATTTGTGTGAATCTTTAAAAATAAATGAGACAGGGGGCCGGCCTCATGGCCAAGTAGTTAAAGTTCCGTGTGCTCCGCTCTGGTGGCCTGGGTTCGCAGGTTCAGATCCCAGGTGTGGACGTACTCCACTCATCAGCCATGCTGTGGAAGCATCCCACATACAAAATAGAGGAGGACTGGCAAGGGATGTTAGCTCAGGGTGAATCTTCCTCACAAAAAATATAATCATAAAAAAATTAAATAAATAAATAAATGAGAGAAAAATTTAAAATAAATAAATGGCACCCAATGAAAGAATGGTTAGAAAATCCCTCTGAGAGGAGAAAGGAACTATGTAAGTGCAACAGCAAACTGAAACACACAAAGGGAGGTTTGGGGGACATGAGCCAGGGGGAGGCTCAGGTCACCAGATTTGCTCAGGGGAGTGCTTGTACCCCACGGGAGGGGTTCAGGATATTCTGGGGGGAGGCAGCCAAGCTCTGTCCCCATGACTCACACACACCTTCCACAAGCAGACACAGAGCCCTGTGGCCTTGGCTGATCTCTAGGAAATGCCCTAAAGGAAGGATGTCTCTAGCACCAACAGGAAAGAACCCCAGGTTCCTTTTAGGGAAGTAGGGGGATGCCCAAGGAGGAAGGAAGGACTGGGGTCCAGTGGCCTTGGGTATGGAGGCACTGACTGCCTGCTGGGCCCCAGGAGGCCCTAATGGGAGCCCTTTATCAAACAACCATGAGGCCTGTCCACCCACCTTGATCTGGCCAGGTGGGCTGGCATCTTACCAGTGAGAGTACTCACCAAGGGAGGGAGAGGACTCAATTGGTGGGTAGGGATGCCCAAGGCTTCAGGTGGGGGCCCATCAGGAGAGACCTTGAACCTCTTTTGGGTTTGGACTCTGGTCTCTGGCCTACTCAAAATCTGCTGCAGTGCAGGAAGCGTATGTTGCATATGGAACTCATATTCACTTCTTAAACTAGGTAAGGGGAATTTAGCATTCTGGGAAGATGAAAGGGGTTCCTGAGGTCTAGGGACACTGGGTGGCTGACTGAAAGTGCCCCACAACTCACAGTACCAACTGAGCCAACAAGTAGCTACAGGCATCTGCATACAGCAGAGCTGAAAACTAATGGCCCACAGACATTTTTTTCTTGGTCCATACAATATGTTTAAAATTTCTAAATCAGTTGCCAACACTAAAAAGTCAGAAAAGCTTCCATTAAAACCTGGCTTCCAGTTTCTTTTTTAAAGATCTGACAATACCGGGCCCCCAATCCCACAGCAGAGGTGCTAAGCCCTTGAGAGGGGGCATGGCTCTCCACATTACCCTAGTTCCCACCCCTCCCTATTGGTCCCCAACCCTGAGACTAAGGGTCAGCTCCCAAATAGGACTTTGCTTGCCCTGTTGTTCCTCTTGTAACAGTTATGAGTAAAGTACACTATTTCTAATACCCATCAAAAGTGGGAAAACAAAAGGTGGACTAAGAAGGTTGTACGTTTCAAGAAAAATGGGAGCGAGCCCGTTCCTTTATGGCCGTGAAGAATATTGTACACCAACCGCTTCCCTCATTTCCGTGGCCTGCCTGGTCCCTGAAGGCCTTTGCGAAGGTGTGGCCCGCCTGGGCCTGCCTGTATCCTCAGCCGGGGACAGAAGTTGGGGTGAAACCCTGCCCTGGACACGGGCACCGGGCTGTTAGGGAAAAGCCCATGCATGTAAGCATGGTGGGGAGCGCGGGCCTCCCGCCTACCATTGCACTTGGTGATGAGCTGGTCCTTCTTGCTGGATTCCTGCAGGGCTCTGCTCTTGACAGTGGAGAGTCTGGGTGGAGAAGATAAGAAAGGATGGGAAGGCTGACAGGCAGACAGGACCCCCAACCCTTCCCCACCTCTACCAATGCCCACTCACGCCTTTTCAAAGGCCAACTTCTCTTTCTCCAGCTGTTTAGACAGCACTTCTACCTCTCCGAGGGCAAACTGCAACTTCTCCTCTTCCTTGACCAGGAGGAGCTTGGTCTTCGCATGGGCAGCTTTCTCTTCCTGCAGGGGCAGCATTGTGACCTCCTTACCCCAAGCCACCCTGGGTTACGTAGGCTCCCTTAACCAGCCCCCTTTCTCTCAGGGGCACATAGAAGCCATACAGGAAGATTCTGTCCTCACTACTGGGGCTGGAGGCTCTCAGAGGCCAATACTCAATGACTCTGCCCAATAACAGGCATCCTGGGAAATGGGGGAAAATTAGGAGCCTGCAGAGGCCATAACTTACCACCAGCTTCTTCTCCACTGCCTGGAACTCTTCTTTACTGACAAAATTTTCGTCCTGGAGAACCATCTGCAACAGAGCCTGGCTTAGGGAGGGCTTGGGGTTGGGGCAGGAGGGGTGCCCTGTAGGGACCAGGACCAAGAACAGATAATGGGATGATGCCCAGGGCACCTAGGATGAGACTCAGGCCCTGGGAAGGGAGAAGTTCCGCAAGATTCACAGAGGCTCAGCTCTACATCCTGCCCTCAAGGAGCAAACAGGCTCATGGAGGAGATAGCCCTGGCCAGCACTTCTAACGTGGTGTGTACTATGATGGAGAAGCACAAAGGACTGTGGTGTCCAGAGGAGGCCCCTGACCTGGCCTGGGGAAGTGTCAGAAGTGCTTCCGAAGAAGGGGATGTCAGACCTGAGATCTGACTGCTAAACAGGGGTGGGCCAGAAGAAGAGCGGTGGAAGAGAAACATATTCCAGACAGTGAGAACACACATGCAAAGGCCAGCTGCCAAGAGAAAGACTTGGTACCTTCAGGGAACTGAATGTAATTCAGTGCCTAGAGCTGCATACAGCCATTAGAATGAGAAACAGATGTGAAGTCAATTTTATTTCAGAGATGGCGATATCTCCCGACCTTCTTATCAAGATAGAAAACAAAAATAGAAAAATCATGAACTCCAGGTGACCAGGATTTTACCATGACTGTCCAGGGAATCTGTGGCTTCAAGGTTTTGCACCCAGGAACTGGGGTTTGATTGAAAAAGCAAAGGAACACAACGGGGTTGGAAGCCCTTAAGTTCACATGTGCAAGGGCAAACCTGTGCTTACTGCACTCAGCATGGCACTGCGTTAGACACTGGGGAGGGGATGTCTATAATAGATGTTATAGATTCTCAGCCTGCACACGAGGGCCTTGGGAAGTGAGTGAAATCATCTCCAGTTTGGAATGGGGAAACTGAGGCTCAGTGAATAGACGGGAACGTATCTACTGGGCCCTGCACTATGAGGCAAAGAGTAGAGAACAGCTTGATTTTGAGTGAAATTCTCTGGCAAATATTCATGAAGACCCTGACCCTTTTTGGCTCCACCTCTACCAGCCAGGACAGATCTGGGCCCCGCCTCCTCCTGGTGACGCCATTGGGAACGAGCTCTCGGCACGCCCCTGGCATCTGGACAGGGTCTGGCCCCGCCCCCGCCATTGCGGCGTCCAGTCTGGCCTCTCCCCCAGCTCTTCTGGCTGCGTACCACGTTCCTCAGCTGGTGGATCAGTTCCTCCTGAGACTCAATCACGTCCCGCAGTTGATCGAAGGCGAGACACACCGACCCTGACGCCCCCTGCGACCACCCGACGGGCGTCGCCATCTTTCCGCCCCCGCCAGCTCGTTGGAAATGGCTGCCGCTGGGTGCCGCACAGCCAACGCCCACCAATCAGAATGCGACGCCACAGAGCACCCTGGCAACCGGGGGCGGGTACTTCCTCTGTTAGCTGGGATGGGGCCCGCCTCTTAAAGGAGCCGCCCGGGTCAGGGGAAACTGATAACCCTTAGGTATTTAGGATTATAGGAAATTTGCACATCTGTTTTATCTTGTGTTTCTCACGCAGTCCTGCAGAGCAGGCAGGGCCTGGCTTATACTTTTTGTAAGGTCTAGGAAACAAGCAACACTCAGACACCAGCCGCTCAGCCTTCTCCCAGGGCCTGTTAAACTGCAAGACCGTGAAGCAACCTCTGCATCTTTAGCTTCACATTCCTCTTTCTCCCACCCTAATCTCTAAATTTCCCCCAGAGTATGAGAATCCAGCTTCCTGTGATCTCTCTTCCTCCTAGAGACACACTTAGTACTGAGGGAACCTGAGCCGAGCAATGAAGGGCAGCTCAAGAATAGAAAAGGAAGTGGCCTCACCCAAGAAAAGAGTCCTCATACTCTGGTACCAGGCTCTGAGCATCCATACTGGAGCCATGTGCCGCCACGTCAAGGTGCTGGGAAGGGCCCTGCAGAACCTGAGGACATTAGGGGAACTGAAATGGGGTGTGAAGGAGACTTCTAAAACGGAGGTAGGGTAGGGTAAGGTGGTCACACATCTTCACCAAATCCCCATCGAGAGCTTTTTCTGAAACTCAAGTAAGATTAAACTTGGGGAAAATCAGAGGTAATATTTATGGAGTATTCACTCTTTTGTGGCACCGTTATGCCTTGTTAGTATTATTTCATATGATCCTCATAATAATCTTGGGAAGTAGGTTCTGATATCCCCATTTTACCGATGAGGAAATGCGGGTTCTATGAGAATGAATAACTTGCCCAAGGTCACCCAAACCAGTAAGCCTTGCAACAGGGTTTTGACGTGGGCACTTGGATTCCAGAGTCCATGTTCTTAACCATGATGCTGTGCCACATCTATGCTGAACACACAGATCCTAAAGTTATGATATTTGATACTCCCAAGCAGGAAATGACTATATTAAGAAGGAATTTGAAAAAAGTTTTATCAGTGAGCGGGAAGGGAAGCTGAAAGTACAGGTAAGCCACTTAGACTGCTCCCCAAAGCTCCCCTAGGGATGGATGTTGTGAGCTGACAAACGTGGCTATTCCTGTGAGTCTCCCGGTGGTAGCCCTTGTTTTGTCTTTCCTTGTTTCTTGTGTCTGTTCTCAAGCCGTTGAGGGCAAGCCCATTTCTGTTGACTAATTTTAAAGGACCTAGAGCAGTACAGTCAAATAGAACTTCCGTGACAGAAATGTTCCACATCTGCACTGTCTAATACGGCAGCTACTAGCCACATGTGGCTATTCCGCACTTGAAATATGGCTGTGACTGAGGAATTGCTTTTTAAATTTTTAAAATTTTTAATTAGTTAAAATTTAAATTTAAATAGCTGTATGTGGCTAGTGGCTACTCTCTTGGATAGCGGGGGCCTGGAGGGTGTTGTGTAGGTTGTGTGCCTCAGCACAAAGCCTTCTGGGAACTTTGTCTTATCAAATGTGAATGTTCACCTGAATCACCCTGGACAAAGGTACACATTCGTCTGGGGCAGTGATCCCTGAATCTTCCCCTTGAACTTTGTCTTTCTCAAGGTTCTTTCATGAGGTGGGGCTTGATCTCATATATATAATTATATATCCCTTGCCACTCAAAGTTCACCTCCACCAGCTGGAACAGGATTCCCTCCACATTTAGGGCAAAACCCTGGAGTGCAGTGGGCTCTGGTAGCCAGTTCCCTGGGGATGGGAGGTTATGAGCAAGAGAGAACCCTGGATCCAGGTTTGTACCCTGCACACCAGCATGAACATGAGGGATGGTGACTCTGGTTGAGGACTGCCGCAGACTCCCACTCTATATGTCAACAAACAGTATGGGCTCCTGGCCAGCCAGGGCCCATTGAGGCTCAGAATGACATGACATCACCAACAGCTCTGTGATTCTGCCCCAGGAGGGCTGCTTTTCTGCTCAGGGGTGTCATCCTGGTTGATATTGTGGTTATCTATTGCTGTATAACAAACGATCCAAAATTTACAGCTTAAAAAAAATCATTTTTGCTCAGGAATCTTCACTATAGGCAGGGTTCAATAGTGAAAGCTCATCCCTGCTCCGCGAAGTATCAGCTGGGATGGCTGAGGAATGGGCTGGAAGGGGAGACTAGAAATTTCACTTCCAAGATGGCTCACTCACATAACTGGCAAGTTGGCGGTGTCAGCTGGGAGCTCATCTGAGGCTGAGGATCAAGGGTCTTGTTCCTCTCCATGGGCTCCTTGGGCTTTGGCATAGCATGGTGATTGGGTTCAAAAGAAAGCATCCAAAGTGATGGGAAATGGAAGATGCCAGTTGCTTAAGACCTAGGCCTAAAAGCTGGCATATTGTCATTGCTGCTGTACTCCATTTGTCAAGGAGCCAGAGTCCAGATTCAAGGCGAGGGGACACATCCCACCTTTTGATGGGAGTAGTTTCAACGAATTTGGGCTGCACTTCCAGAGGAAGTCCTGACAGATGACATGTCATTCCCCTTGAGGTTCGGCTCAGATAAAACCAGACTGGAACTCAGTCTAGTAGGGGAGACAGACAATAATCAAATAAACACTCAAATAAATCCCAAATTAAGTTACTATTAAAATAAATAGCATTATAGTTATGACAGGTGCTAGGAAAAAGTGGGATGAGAATAAAGGGAGATTTAACCCCATCTGGGGTGTCAGGGAAGGCTTCTGTGAGGAAGTGATGTCTGAGCTGAAACCTATTAAGGTAACCAGGAGGCACTTAGCAAAGAGGGCAGGGGCAGATGAGTGGGAAAGGGTTCCAGAAAGAGGGAACAGTATACACAAAGTCCCTAGGGCAAAAGGGGTTGGCAGAGTCTAGCAATTAAAAGGCTAGTATGGCAGAAAAGAAAAAGATGTATAAGGGCCGGCCTGGTGGCGTAGCGGTTAAGTGCACATGTTCCACTTTGGTGGCCTGGGGTTCACCGGTTCAGATCCTGGGTGCAGACATGGCACCACTTGGCAAGCCATGCTGTGGCGGCCCACATATAAAGTAGAGGAAGATGGGCACGGATGTTAGCTCAGGGCCAGTCTTCCTCAGCAAAAACAGGAGGGTTGGCAGCAGTTAGCTCAGGGCTTATCTTCCTCAAAAAAAAAAAAAAAACAAAAAAAACAAAACCCAAACAAAAAAACCCCCAAAAAACAAACAAAAATGTAAAAAAAAAAAAGAAAAAGATGTACAGGGCAAGACAGGGTAGATGCCAGAAATGTGGTAGAGTCTTGCTAAGCATTAGGCCATGCTAAAGACTTTGATGATTTTTATTCTGGGGGCAAAAGAAAGCCACTGAAATATTTTAAGCAAGAGGGTGACATGAAGGGCCGACCCCATGGCCGAGTGGTTAAGTTCCCACGCTCAGCTTCAGTGGCCCAGGGTTTCACTGGTTTGGATCCTGGGTGCCAATCTAGCACCACTCATCAAGCCATGCTGAGGCGGCATCCCACATAGCAGAGCCAGAAGGATCTACAACTAGAATCTACAACTATGTACTGGGGGGCTTTGAGGAGAAGAAGGAAAAAAAAGAAGATTGGCAACAGATATTAGCTCAGGTGCCAATCTTTAAAAAAAAAAGAGGGTGACATGATATAATTTATGCTTTGAAAAAGATCTCTCTAGTTGCAGCAAAGGTTACAAATTGGAGGGGGCCCTGAAGAGATGCAGAGACTACTTACACTTAGGAGGCTTCTGCAGTAGTTTTTATCAGAGAAAGTGGATGGTAATTTGGGAGTCAGATGGTGTCAGAGGAGATGAAGAGCAGATGGATTTAGGATAGTCTGGAGGTAAAACTGATAGGACTTAATGGTGGAGGGGATATGAGAAAAAGGGAGTCAAGGTGTTTTGGTTGTTTACTGCTGCAAACAAACTACCACAAAATGTAATGGCTTAAAACAGGAACCATTTTATTTGCTGACGATTCTGCAGTTTGAACAGGGCTGGGGGTTGGGGGAGCAGCTCATTGCTCACTTCTGCTCTGACCATCAGCTGGGGTGGCACAAACATCTTGGCTTGGATTGTCTGAGTTCTCCGTTCTTGCTGCCAGCTCAGTTGTTTGGTTCTCCATGTGGTTAGCTTAGTGGTCTCAGGGTGCTTGGACTACCATGGCAGCTGTCCTCCCAGAAGTGCAAAAATGGGAGCTGCTAGTTTTGCCACATTCTGTTGGTTAAAGATCAAGGGCCAGCCCAGATCAGAAAGGGGACTACAAAAGGGCATGAATATTAGGTGTAGTCCATCGGAGGACACCAAATTAAGTCTACCACACAAAGTTCCCTGGGTTTCTGACTTTTGTGCTTGGATGGATGGTGGTGCTACTCACAGAAACGGGAGCACTCACAGCGTTGCTTCCATCTCCATTAAAAATCCCTGCACTCTGTATGAAGGGTGGTTATGTTTCAATTCTCTCTTTCTCAGGATTGCTTTCACTGATACTTCATACTGGATTAATCCCTTTGTTATAGATTCCCAAGGTTCCCTTGGTCGCCCCCTTTGACATTCATCCTCCTGGGAAACATTATCTAAAATTAGCCTCCCTATTAGCTGTGAGCTCCAGGAACCTTGGGCTGGGTCTCACTTGTCCCCTGACCTTCATCCCAAAAGCTCAGCCCACCTGGCACATAGCAAGTTCTCCATCTTTCCTGAATTGAATCTCATCTCAATCTTTCTTCAAATGAAGGGTATTATTATGCCCATGTACTATATTTTTAAACTAAGACTTTCCTAAATATGAGCCATTAGGAACAAAGCCAGCAAGGAACTTGGGATAACACCTGATTTTCAGATGCTAAGTAGATTTGATCTGTGCATTAGCTGTGATATGCTGCAGCTGCTGTTATTTGATAGACAACAAATATGGAAGTAGTGATGCCACCAATGCTATCTATTGTTCTAAACACCAATAATTCCACTGATGGATGAGGGAAGGCTGGCGCAGAGGTCAACAGCTTCTCTAGTCCTAAGTGGCTCCAAGGGAGTTGGGCAATATGCAGTGCCCAAGGGTGCCATGAGCAAAGGTAAAAGAACAAAGGAAAAATATAAAGCCATTCTTTTTATATAAAATTGTTTAATTTCCTTCTCGGTTAAAATACACTCAATCCAGATGCAGTGGATCAGGTGACCAGATTTTCAGGATTCTTATTCCATGAGGAGTTGATTCCATTTGTGTCAAACCTGGCTCTGGTCACAGAAGATTCACATCTTTAATTCCAAATACTGAGTGTGATGCAAATGATGTAATCAGTATCTAACACATGGGCATATAGTTACTTGGTGGTCACTGCACGAGGTATCAAGAATGCAGGCTCAAAAAATAAGATGTCTAGTAACTTGGCCCCTTCCAAAAATAAATATATTAGGATTCTAAGCTTACGTCTTAAATTAATCCAAAATAAATACTAATTAAGTGCTAGCTCCTGTGAGGAAAATTGCATGCAGAGACAATGAACTTGCATGTGTGGCCAGTTGTAACAGGAAGCTTCTGGAATCTCAACAGTACCTCCTCACAAAGCCAGTCCTGAGTATGAGGATGAAAACGAGAATAACACATAGTTTGGCCAGGCTGCTGGATTCCACATTCCAGTGGAATTTGGAGTTCAGTGTAATTTCTAATAGTTTCCAACAGAAAGCATAGCAATGACATCTTCTTACTGGTCACTTCTCCCAAGCTGTGAGGCCTGGAGCTGATCAAGGAAGTTCACAAGTTTTCTGGTTTGAGCAGGTGGACCCCAGGGTTGCTAATGTGGGGACACAGATTCCTTCAAGCCGCAGTGTCCTTTGTGGTGAAAAGGATTTTCATCTTCCCCTCCTCACTGCTGATCGTGCAGTGCAGAGAGCACTTTGCTTCTAATGGACGCGAGCTTCCGTTTCTGCTTGAGCCTCAAGCCCTATTTTTTAGCCCCACTCCTATCACACGTCTCCAACCTGCATTAATGCTCAGATACAGTCTAAAGCTGCACGCCAAGTTCTGATAGCAAGAATACGCCTTACCTAAAGAGTTTATATATGATCAGGAAGCCTTCCAAAGAATGTAGGCAAGAGGAAAACGCTTATGTTACCAACATGCAGACAACCCATCTAAAATATAACCCAGGAAATTATAGTTTAACAATATTCTGGACTGTACCAAATAGATTAAACTATCCTTCAACCAAAAGCAAATACCAATCCCTTGAGGAAAACCCAATGTGAATGTTGTGGTCTATTAGCTAATAAATAAAACAGTACCATCAGTGCTATAAACACAGACAATAGACCTGACATTTAATGTAGTTAGCATTGCCTCTATTTAGTTTCATCACAGATAACTCGTCTCTGCCATGAAATCCATAAAGTGTGTGACTACACTATTCATAGGCTTCTAGAGCAGCATCTTTTAAGCTGTCAAGTCAGTTTAATTATGGCCCATTTTCTAGCAGAGGTTGGGTTTGGGAAGAGGAGAGCTTTGATTTTTTGTGTATAAGAAAACTTTCCATAAGCCTGCTTGGCTCACAGGCACATTTTACAGTGTAAATGCCCTTAGTCACTCAGAGGGGATCAAGGAAGCCCCCCCAAACCAGGAGGATAGACTTACATGGGAAGCAAAATCTGGCTATCTCTGGAGCTTCCCCCACTCCCCACAGCTAAGCAGTTGTTCCCTACAGCCACCAAAGCTCCACTCTTTGCCTCTGGACCCATCTCCTGACCCTATGGAATGCCCACATGTTGAACCATGCTAGATGTGTCTGCCAAAATCACAGCTATGCATCTCAAAGGAGACACTCTGCTTTGGAAATCACTTTTAATGTAGACTCTCCTTCCAAAAGGAACTTTTCTTCCATCCTGAAGAAAATATAGAGTGTAGACTATAGTCACCTACTGATCCTTCCAGGTTCAGATTCACGATAATCAAGACAGCTCAATCCTGGCCACTCGCTTTTGCATGAAGGCTCAGAACCATGTAGCACAGGCAACAACTTACCTCTTCCTTGTCACTGGTGGGAAGGGCTGCTTGCCTTTGAGGGACCTCTTGTTTTGTATACAGAATTGGTGTACAGAGGGTCTTCCTTCCTAAAGACTTGGGGGAAGGTATCCTGAGTGGATGCAGGACTGCCATAGAAAGGATACAGGGTCACAAAGTCAGGGGGACAGGGGCATCCTTGGGAAAGATTCTGCTTTACCAATTTGGCTAGAATCACCTGAGAAACGGGATGACATCACACCTTCTACTCAATAATCAGCCTACTATCTAGCTCTGCCACTACCAATTGTGTGACCCAGGTCAACCATTCATCCTCTCTAGGCCAAAGTTTTCATTCATAAAAACAGGGATAACATGTCGACTTCACAGAGTTGTGAGGAGGCTAAAGTAAGAAAATATATGTGAGGGGCCGGCTCCTCGGCCGAGTGGTTAAGTTCGCGCGCTCCGCTGCAGCGGCCCAGGGTTTGGATCCTGGGTGCGGACATGGCACCACTTGTCAAGCCACGTTGAGGCAGCGTCCCACATCCCACAAATAGAGGGGCCTGCAACTAAGATATACAACTATATACGGGGATTTTGGGGAGATAAAGCAGAAAAAAAAAAGATTGGCAACAGTTGTTAGCTCAGGTGCCAATCTTTAAAAAAAAAAAAGAAAAGAAAATATATGTGAGAATCCCTGCTTCATACTAGGCACTCAATAAATGTTGACTATGTGAAAAAGCATCTCATATCACAAACTACAGGGCACTGGGTTAGACAAAGTGACTGCTGGGGCCAACGCCAGACCCCCATAGCCATGTAAAGAGTCTTTCCCTTCTATCCCTAGGCTTGAGCAAACAGCCTGGTTGGCTGGCAATGCCTCCTTGTAGGTCTGACCACTGTACCTCTGTGGGGTGTAGGGACTCAGCTTAAGTGTGATGCGGCAAGGGGAAATGACAAAAAGGACATTCTCTGGTATCTATGATGGACAGGGGAACCTGTACTGAGGTTCAGTCTTGCATTTCATCTTCACCCCTGGCCCCTGCTTCCTGCTGTTGAGTTGTCCATTGAACTGTTTCACTCAATAGCTTTTAATTTCTGGACCTTTTATAAGAGAGAGGGTTAAGGAAGTAAAAGAAACTCAAAACAGGCTGTGTGCTAGTGCTAGTAACTCTGAACAGAGATTAGGCAAATAGAAAACTACTGACTACAACAGTTTACATTTCTCCATCTTCCCCTTAGAAAATGGAAAGCTGCGTAGGAGCAGGTTTCAAAGGCTGGATTCTAGGGGAGATGAGGACTCTAATAAGGGAGAGGTATAATTCTTGCTGCACATTGTAAACAACTAATATTAATCTGCTTTGGCTATGCCTAGGAATGACTGGGTATTGAAACATTCCTGAAGAAGGGAAGAAGGAAGAAAACATGAATCTGCTCTGGGATGCCCTGAACTACATTCCTAGAGGCAGGGTGGGCAAGGAACAGGGGGCGCTGAATCAAATGCTTTGCCATTAATTCAATTTAGATGAACTGTTCCTGGCCCTTGGAGCCAATCCCTAGGAAGGATTCTCTGATGACAAGTCTGGCTCCATGCTCTAGCGCCTACAACTCTGCCCACCAAACAACATTAGCAAATTGTAAAATGTTAATAATTTCCTAATTTTGTATTATAAAATGGAATTAGGAACATAAATAGTAACAAGTAGCAAAACCCCAACCCTGCGCCGGACTATCATCCTCTCAGCCACCTCTGCGCAGGCCAATAAGTTTGGAAAGTTTTTCACAGTTTTCAAGTTTCAGCGACTCTGCTTTCTGTCTCAATCGTTCATCTCTGTATAATCCTGCCAAATTTGTCAACTCCGACTCTGAAAGATAAAACAGGTAACCAATTCATCAAGAGAGTTGAGCTTCTTTGTTTCATTTCAATATTTCTGGAATCAAAGCTCCTCTTAACTTATTTAATGCTTTTTCTTTCAATTAAATTAAGAAACACTCATTTATTCAAGAGTATCAGGCAGCTAGACTACACCAGGTGCTGAGGATTAAAAGACACCTGTGATCCCGGAGTCCTGCAGTATCTGTGCTCTATTATAAAAGCACTGCACTTAGTTCTTATCAATAGAACATTTGGCACCAGACTTAGGAAACCTGCACGTGTGCAGTAAGAGGAGACTGACTGTTTCACGGTCTTCCTGCGAATGGGATTCAGATTGCAGTTGGGAGAGAATGGAGTCCAATCGCCTGTCCCTGTCATCTGAAACAAAGACAGCTGCTTCATGCTTTCCCCTGCGTGGCGGGATCATAACTCATACATGCTAACTGACACAGAGCCTCCTCCGTTGCGTATGCCTTCTATAGAAGGCCAGGTTGCTGGTGGCTTTCTTCATTCCCTCACCACATGTGGGGTCCCTAACTCAAAGGCCAAAGGCAGCTGGGCTCTTTTAAAAGTGAAATCATCTCGATCCGGTGACCTTTGTCTCCTTGACTAAATGAATTTCATTTTCTCTTCATGGTGGAGAAGGTCATTCTATTTTTAACCAGAATATAATCTCTGCTGTCTTCTCTGACTCAACAGTGGTTTGGCTGCCTTTATTTTTTATTCTTTTGTAAATTTTCAGAGACATTCTCAGGAGGGAATGCCTGAAAAGCACCTCCAGAGATGTGTTGTGTATTAACAGGGTGGCATGCTTGGATGGGCTGAATGGCTTCTGAAATCTTCCAACAACAGGCAGCTACTCAATGTTTAAAGGACCTTTCTTGTGAAAATGCTATTTTAATCATTTTGAAATATGTCTTTCCATTCTTAATCATCTTGCTGACAGATTTTGTTTTTCTTGGTGGAACGAGAGGCCCCTGTCTGATTAATCAGCAAACTGCCTGGGAACAGGAATTATACTTAGCCCAGGGGAAGAGTGGGCACTGGTTTCTGAATAAGTTTCTATCAACACAAAACACTGTCTGGCATTTCTGCTCACAACAATTCTATTTACCAAGTAAGGCCCAAAGTGAAGATGAAGTGTAGGACTCCAGGGCGAGCAGTGGGTATACACGGAAACCTTCCCTCTACAATGGGGCTCAGAGCCGGGGCCCTAGCTCAGCAGTTGCTTGGCAAGCAACGGGTCTCCCAGGCTCCAGAACAATGTGCTCTCACCCTGTGGCGCGGGTCCCTGCAGGGCCTGCTAGCCAGAGCTTGCCTTGGCACAGTCACCCTTGCAGGTGACAAAGCTTCATGGAGGATCATGTGCTGCACCCAAATGAAAGCCCTGTGCTCCTGGGTCCTGCCCAGAACTCAGCACTAACTCCATTTCTCTGGCATGTGGGAAACCCGTTCAGGGGGCCTCTACAAAATCAGTTTATGCCTTTGGTCCTCTGGAGTCACAGTTATCCCCACAGTTATATGGAACAGATTCTGTGGCTTTGCTTTTCCTTAGGTTTTTTGTTTAATGGGCTTACCTAAATGACTCATTGCCTGAAATCTCATTCCAGACAACATTAAGGGCTAATGATTCTTACTATCTTCTACACTGAAGACCACTGGAATAAGCTGATGAAAGATAAATGCACATATATGAATGCTTTTCTCAAAACATCACATTGCTTTTCATAAAGTTCACTGAAACCAGGTATTAGTGCTCCAGAGATTGAGACTCCTGCTCCAGAGCAATGACTTTGCACAAGGTCAGTGTTTCAAGGAACCATGTCCCGCATCCCCACTACCATGCTTAGACAAACTTCTCTCCAAATTGCCAGTGAATCCTTTGGCCCTACAGTGAGCAAAAGGTCATCTCAATGAGTATGTTACTTTTGATAAGTTCTGTTAATATTCAATAACTTCTAAGTTAAAAAAAAATAATGTTTGGGAAGGGCAGGATCAAGAGACCATCTTTTCTTCTTTGTAAAATGTTTCCCTACCTCTGAATGCCAGTGTAGTAGATGGACAGAGCATTGGGCCTGCAAGGTAAACTGACTCAGGCAAGTTGCCAAGAGAAGCAAGTCCCAGACTTTCTCCCAAGAACACTCTGCACAAGATCTCAGATTGGAGTCTTGACAGCTGGAAGACCCCTATAGATCCTGACAACCCTCATGATTCAGCCCCATGAGACAGTACTGCATCCAGTTTAGCAAGGCCAAGTAAGGCCTGGACTCCATCAAGAACCAGGCACTTACTATGTGCCAGACACCATGCTAAGCATTATACCCATACCATCTTCTATAATCCATACAACCTCTCTAAGAGGAAGTTCATTTTATCCCCATTTCAAAGCTTAAGCTTCTACCCACTCTGCTACCCTGCTCCAGGACATGGAAAAAAGTGCTCCCCTGCCTGGCAGGGTCAGGATCTCAGCTCAGCTCAGCCAGGCCAGGAGGCAGTTCCTGCCTGTTACTTTTGTCCATCCCAGCCCAGTGGCCTGGCCACTTCCCCTGGCATCACGTTTATTATCTAGATGTAGCTGTGAAGGAGTAAACAGGGCAGTTAGTGTTCATAGTTTAGGATTACAGAAGTTCATTTGGATTAAGCATTCTAAGGTAGAGTAGAGAAAAGAAATGAACAAAAGATTTTAAAAGACAATGGCTAACTTTGCTAAAAACAGTTTCCATTTGGTATTTTGCCAAGAGTGAACTTTGTTCTCAAGTGGGTTTATTTTTACAACCTCCAACTGCTAAATTTAACCTTGTTGGCTGCACTTGCTGCTGGATCCGGAGGGCAGATGCTGCTTGTTCTCAAATGGCACTTGGGTTGTGTGGAGGCTCCGGACAGCCACCCTCCTTAAACGCCAGAAATAGATTTTTAAGGGGTGTATGCTGATAACCCCCCATTTGGAACTGGTGGGTACACGTATCATGCTTACCCACTGGATTTTAATTTATACCTGGAGAGTGCCAAAGCCCTGAAACTAGGCCTCATGGGGATGGGGACGAAAGCCTAGAAGCCAATTTAGGTGTAATCCTTACCATGAACTCTTTGGATAGTTCCAGCTGGGGGTGGGTGTGTGTGTGTGTGTGTGTGTGTGTTTGAAGAAGGTGAAATGCAGATTTTCATCCAGTTCTTGCAAAAAGCAACAAATTAAAATCCCTCTCAGAGCCCAAAACAGTGGGGACTTTCAGGGTACACACTGTGGCCTTCACCTGATTTGGACCCACATATATACTGCTTTTTATTCTAAGGCCTTTATCTTGCTCCAAAATTCTTTCCTGATTTTTTGAAACTTGGAAAACTTAGTTTAAAATGATATAGGGTACTTCCTGACTCCTCAGTTTTTCCGATAAAAAAGGAACTTCTTCCTCCTACTTAATTCCCCCTTATATCCCAGAGGTATTATCCACCAAGTTGTGATGCACTTGAGAGTTCAGCTGGGCTTTGCCCTATAAAAGTAGAGGGCAGAGACAAGGTCCCTAAGGGCTAGGGTTAGGACACTAACCCTGCTCTGGGATTCTTAATCCTCAGCATTTTCATTGTTTTCCAGTCCTGAGAATCCTCTCTTCAAAAGACATTTGTTGAGCACCTGTTCTGAAGCAAAGACTGTGCCAGGGGCCTGGGACACAAAATTAATAAGACATGATACTTGTCCTCAGAAAGCCCACAGTCCAGCAGGGAGACTGACATCTACCTACGGAGCACTAACACTGTGAGAGCAGTACTGTGTTAGCAGGATGAACCGAGTGCTCTAAGGACACAGAGGAAGGAGAGATTACCTTGGGGGTGGAGTTGGGATGCGTGATGGGTCAGCAAGGGCTTAGCAGCACTGTGACTGAAGAGCTAATTTTACCAGACACTGTTAAATGTTTAATAGTACCCAGTAATAAGGTTTAAAAAATGAGTTAGCGTTTGCTCTTTAAAAATTAACCAAAGCCATGTTTTATAAGATAGTTGCTAATGGTGGTGTGCATGTGTGTGGAATTCAAGTAGGATCAAAAGAGAACTTGTTGGCTGAGAGACAGGGCCACCCTTGCTACCACATTCCCCATTAACACGCACTGGAGTTGTAAGCCAAGTGGCAGACACTGTCACCTGCCTTGTCTCCAGAGAGGGAAATAGAGTGAAAGGCCTGCTCACATCCACCCTTAGCGAAGGCACAGACCTAGGGAGGGTCACTTTTGTTCTGTGTGGCCACACGCAACTGGAGATGAGGAAAGGGGGCACCTAACTGAATACCAACAATCTATGAACCTTCGGTCTGGCTCAAAAAGTTAGGCTGGATCAATCAGATTTCCCTCTAGGGAATGTGGAGTTAAGAAACTGTAGACCAAACCAGCTACAACTTAAAGAGGAGGCTTGTGATGTACAAAGGGGCCAATGGCTCATGGAGTGGGGAAGTTGGGAGAGCAACTAGGAGAGTAGAAATCAAAATAAACCATAGCAAAACAAAGTTATGAAGGAGAGCTTGAAGAAGCAAAGGAAGGCAGTTGGCAGAGAGGAGAGAGGCAGATAGGCAGAGAGAGATAGAGGCTCAGAGACAGACAGACAGATGGGCAACTAGTGCTGCCTAAGTTCCTAAGATTTCTAAGTCTTGGCTACGTGTATCCTGTCAATAAACTTCCCTTTTTTTGTAGTATCCTGAAGGGCCTCTGTCCTGTCTCTGTTCACATGCACATGTGCGACTCAAACAAGGAGAGAGGAGGGATCAGGAAGCGGGGATGCCTTAGGTTGGAAGGATGGCTACCAGCTAAAGCCCCTTTTAGAGCATCTTACTTTGTTGTTTCTCCTTCCAACAACTCGTCTGGATGTAATCAATGTAATCCTTCTCTATCGTCTTCTCCAGGTCACGCAGAGATGCTCCCCTGTAGGCCTTGTCAAAGTTTTTATCCACAAAGTAAGGCACCTGCAGGTTCTGGGTTTCTCTAGAAATGGTATAGCCCAAGGTCCTAAAACAAGGAGAGAGAGAGAGAGGCTCTGGTACGCTTTTTATATTCGGCAATATCACTCTTAGCACTGGCTTCACAGACATCATTATCACAATCACCTCTCCAGAGGGCAGGTGCAGATATCAGCTTCTAAAACATGCAACATTTATTATTTCCCTAGCAAAGTATAAGTGTAATGTCATCATTATCACTATTACGTGAGCATGTAAATACTGTGGATTCAGCTTCAATATATTTACCTTATTCTCTTAAAGGAGTCACGTCTTTTATGTTTCTTTCTATGCTAAAAGTAGAATGCTGAATGCTTAAAAAAACAATTTGTATATTGTGTAGGACCTAGCATGGTTCCTGGCACAGAGTAGGCTATTGGCAGATGTTGGTTGGATGAAGTGATTGTTATAGTAAACTACTTACAAATAACCAGATAGCTTACACCAATTTAGCACCAATTTTAGGACATGACAAAAAGTACTTCACACATAGCTGCTAAGTGAGAAGTGCAAAAAACTCAGCCAAAAGATTTCCATGATACTTCTTGGGCTCTCTGTGAGTCTAGGATATCCAATGGTATCTGGTGCTCAGAAACATTAACAGGTCTGGGTTAACTAAATTCTAACCATAAGGAAGTATAGAAAGGAGTACAAATTCAAGTTAAAACAATGTGACAATAATGTGCAAAATCCAAGCTGATTTTGTTCAAACTGGACAAATTCCATTTAAATGAGTTATATTTGAGTCTTCTCAGCCTTTTCCTTTGATCTCTTAACTTAGGAATCTTGCTGAATGTCTAAGAGCTCAGGCCACGACTGCTCCCATCTGCCTTTGGGAAGGTGTTAGCAGGGCAGGTTCCTGCCAGCCCCACTGGCCTGACAAGAAAGGAGGTAGCTATAGCATATGGAGAATACAGGAAGTCAGGAAATAGAGGGAATCAGGTCAGTGTGATCCGAGAGTAATAACCTCCCTTTGAGTCTCAACTTTCCTCTCTGTAAAATGAAGATATTGATCCAGAATGACAGTCTTCACTCCACATGATCACCAACAAAAACTTCCTGTTATGTATTGCGTCATGGATTCCACATTTTGTAAGGTTTTTGTAGACTAAACTAGAGCAATGAGTAATGACTTATTTCTCATTATTAATTAAAAAAATAATTAATCTAGTGATTCTCAAACTTTAATATGGACCAGAGTTATCTGGAGGGCTTGTGAAAACTCAGATTGCAGATTCTCACCCTGAGTTTCTGATTCAGTAGAGGCCTAAGAGTTTGCATTTCTTTTTCTTTTCTTTCTTTCTTTCTTTCTTTTTATTTTTTGGTGAGGAAGATTGGCCCTGAGCTAACATCTGTGCCAATCTTCCTCTATTTTGTATGTGGGATGCTGCCACAGCATGGCTTGATGAGTGGTGTCTATGTCCACATCCAGGATTTGAACCTGAGAACCCCAGGCCGCCAAAGCAGAGAGTGTGAACTTAACCACTAAGTCACCGGCTGGCCCCAAGAGTTTGCATTTCTAACATCTTGCCAGTTGATGCTGATGATGCTGGTCTGGAGACCAAACTTTGAGAACTGAATTAATTGAAATAATTAATTGAAGAAATAAAAAAATTCTTATCAGAGCTCATAATCTGCATGTAATACAAACATTATAATGAATGTCTACATTTTCAGTAAAAGCAAAGAAATGTGAGACTATGGTTTGACTATGTAGCCTTACCATGAATAAAATGTCCTATTCTTGCAATTTCTTAAATTGAAAATAATCGCCAGATCTCAGGTACTATGTTCTCAGAAGCACAGGGTCCAGGGATCCTATCACAAGATCAATAGGGTCCTTTCTAACTCTAACATGGTGTGATAAGGATATAATCTGAACCTGGAGTTATTCTATTAATCCTTCAGAAACCAGTTGTTGCTGTTCTGCAGCTGACCCGGATGATGTCGCTGTAGAACAAAACAATCCATCTCCTGAGAGCACTGGAAACTGCCTACAGTATTTTTGAGTCTCTGCACTGTTACTATCCAGCTGTTCCTTAAAACACCAAATCAGTGTTTTCTACAATGAAATGTGAAATGAAATGTTGGTTATGTACCAGCAAAACCTTCAAGTCTTTCACCTTCCAGACTATTGTTAAGAAAGATTTATAAATATTTGACTTACGATTTATAGAATAAACTATATGGGGGATTAGCAGCTAGCAGCTGAGTAATGACAGATATAATCACAATCACCAGAACTGGAAGTAACTGAATGAATGCAGAATACGTAGTCTGAAAAAGAAAAAAATATTTAGTGTAGGTGTTCTTCATCAGTATAAAACTTATTGAAAATAGGATAGTTTCCCCAAAGAAAATACGAATTACCAATTCATTGCACAAAGCCCAAGGTTTTTCTGGGAAGGCTGTACTTTCCGGTGAGAGGTACCAAACAATTCTTGTTCTCTCTGCTGTGAAGGCTGAAGGAGGCCCACCCACAACCTGGGCTGACACCCAGTAATTCTCCTGCAGCCTCCTTTTCTAAGACCAGTGAAGCAGACATCTGTGGGTGAGTCTGCCCAGACTGTGGCTCTTACTGGGCCAGGTTAATATTATGCAACTCTGTTTCCTTGGCCACAGCTGAATGGACCAGGGGACATCTAACCCTAGCAGGGATAATCACATGCTCCCTCTTAGGAATTTGGGATTGAGATTCATCACCGTTCACTGCTAGGCAGTCACTTGAAGAAAGGATACATACTCTTAGGCACTAAGGACTTGCCATTTGCAAGGGGAAGTAGGACAAGCCAGGCTGCTTAGAACGAATGAAGCAGATGCAGAGAGGCAGGAAAATTGGAGACAATCTGGCCCCAAGGAGTCATGGAGAGCACAACTGCATGGGTACCTGACAGCACCCCAGTTCCTGGTTCCCATCTGTCATGAGACCCAGTTGTGCTTCCTGCCCTTAAGCTTCGTGAGACTCCCTTGATCCCTTAAACCCCTGTTAGTTCTGAATATTTTCAAAGGAGTTCCTATTTTCTGCAGTCAAGAAAACCTTGGTCAAGACAGCCCCACAAAGGAACTGAAAGCCCCTGAGAGCAACGAAAGAATGGGTGGGGAAGGGGGTACCATTCTGGCCTATTTGGGTCAATTATCCAGCTCTTCTTACCAGCCTCTGTTTTCCTAAAGCACATTTTAGCAACATATCTCAAGTTGAACTTCTAAAACCTGATCATACGCCACATAGGTCAGCTCAGTACGAGTGTTTATGAGCAGCAGTTCTCCTGTCCTCCCTGGGTACCTGAGGTTTATCTTCCTCCTCTTCCTTCTGTGTCTGCATCCTCTCATGTCGGTGCCGCCGGTGGTAATAGTGGGTGTCATCTGTCACGTTTGAAAACATATGAATATTTCCTGGAAAAGAAAGAAAAGCAAATACTTAGTATGAGATATAGCAAACACTCCTTCCTTGCCTTTTCCAAGGTCCTTGCTCCCGAATAGATTCTCTGAGGGTAGAGAATTATCCCATTTTACCAAGTAGGAAAATAAGACAGTAGGTAAGCCAAGTGAACCAGATGGAAATGCAATGTGCTTAGCTCTCCTGCCTTTATTTAAATAGTCTTTTGTAACTAGTGAGTGAGAGAACCCTAAAAGGCCGGTAAAGGAGCATTTGGGCCATGAATTCTGTCTGACAGGCTCATGCTGCTTCCTTGCCCAATATCTGATTACGTCACTAGTATCTTTATTAGCAACTCATAAAATTCAGTTTACTTCCTGGGAATTTAATTATCCCAACTTCCAACTCTCTGGGGATACTTTCCTAACTTTTATCTTTATAAAACTGCTATTTTGCGGGGCTGGCCCCGTGGCCGAGTGGTTAAGTTCGCGCGCTCCGCTGCAGGCGGCCCAGTGTTTCGTTGGTTCGAATCCTGGGCACGGACATGGCACTGCTCATCAAACCACGCTGAGGCAGCGTCCCACATGCTACAACTAGAAGGACCCACAACGAAGAATATACAACTATGTACTGGGGGGCTTTGGGGAGAAAAAGGAAAAAATAAAATCTTTAAAAAAAAAAAACTGCTATTTTGCAATAATGATAATAATAGGCATTCTGCTATTTATTTATAAAGTACTTAAAAATATCCAATCCTCATAGCAGCCCTGTGAGGTAGGTATTATCAGCCCCATTCTTCGGGTGAGGAAACGGGATCAGAAATACTAAGTGATTTGGTCAAAATCATGCCCAGCTGGAGGCTGAAGACTTGCCTCAAACCTCAGCTCATCTGATTCCAAATTCTTGCTGTTTCCACCATTCCATGGTCCCTCTATCCAGATCCTCAAACAGGATCTTGTTAAAAATTTTTAAACAATAATTTTGGGATACTAACCTGTAGGAAAATGTCCTCCAAAGAAGACGTTGAATAGCTCTTCTGGAGTGATGTCAGCTTCGAAGTCTCTGTAATAACTATGAGGTCTGGCTCGAGGGGCAGTGAAAGTCACCTGTTCATCTCCATATTCATCATAGCGGAGTCTCTTATCAGGATTGCTCAGGACTGCAAAGGCATTTCCTATTGCTGCAACCCAAACCAAAAAGCACCTGAGTACACAGTCTTTGCTGTAGCTGAGGGTGATCAGACTAGCAGCAATGAAGAGCCCTCAGTTCATCAATGCTGGGTAACTTCACAGGGGCCCAAGGAGAGGTGCTTGGGCCTAGAAAGTTTACCCAACCACCTGCCCTTGAAATTTTCCATGATCTAGTTTGACAAGCCAGAAACACCACTGGATTCAAGATGAACTAAGAACACCTGTGCTCATTCATCAACAATGTGTTCTTGGGGCTGGCCCCATGGCTTAGTGGTTAAGTTCAGTGTGCTCTGCTTTGGTGGCCTGGGTTCAGTTCCCAGGCATGGACCTACACTACTTCTCCATGGTCATGCTGTGGCAGCGACCCACATACAAAATAGAGGAAGACTGCCACAGGTGTTAGCTCAAGGCAAATCTTCCTCAAGCAAAAAGAGGAAGATAATGGGCTGGCCCGGTGGCACAGCAGTTAAGTTCGCACATTCCGCTTCTCGGTGGCCCGGGGTTCGCCGGTTTGGATCCCGGGTGCAGACATGGCACTGCTTAGCAAAAGCCATGCTGTGGTAGGTGTCCCATGTATAAAGTAGAAGAAGATGGGCATGGATGTTAGCTCAGGGCCAGTCTTCCTCAGAAAAAGAGAAGGATTGGCAGTAGTTGGCTCAGGGCTAATCTTCCCCCCCCCAAAAAAGAGCGAAGATTGGCAACAGATGTTAGCTGAAGGCAAATCTTCCCCAGCAAAAAAAAAAAGAAAGAAAGAAAGAAAGAAAAGAAAAAAAAGTGTTATTTCACTTGAGAGCAATAGTTTATGGTTGGAAATGGTTCATACATAAGTAGTGGTTTTAACTTGAAGTCAGAAACAATCTCCTGAATAGAATAATCAGTAAAAAATCCTTCTGCTTGGCTAAAAGCAAAGTCCTTACTTATCACAGTCTTGTTTCAGCTTCCTTTAGAAAATGGTCTTCATAAATTTCGAAATCTATCTCCAATGTCTCAGTGAGGGATCAAAGACGGAATAGATTACATATGCTTACCATCACCTTTCTTCCCTAGGCACAAATGTGCAAACTTTGTCCAATTTCATTTAAACATACAATTAGTACCACCAATCAAAGAAACCTTGAAAAAAATATTTTAAGACATCCCTACTCCCTACTTCTAATTCAGTCAGCACTATCAGAAACACAGTTGGCAAGAGCATTTTCTTATGATTCTTCTAGCTGGTGAATTGTATTAAATGTTTACAGCAATAAAACTGCTAAGCAGAAAAACCTAAACAGAGTTGCTTAGACATTCACATTCCTTGAAATTTGGCATATTTCTCAAAGAAATGGCATTAGTCTGTAAAAACTGTACAGGAAGGTGTAAAGAGAACGTGGGTTATCTATTTGTTTCCTTGTAGAAGTTGTGGGGAGAACTAGATTCTCCATGCCACATCAACAAGGGTAGACTGTCCTCTGAGGTAAATGTTCACTTTTAAAAATTTCTCAGATCTATTGGTTTTTACTTTTTCTTTTGAAAAATTTCAAATCTACAGAAAAGTTGAAAAAATAGTATAATAAACACATGTATACCCTTTACCTTGATTTATCAATTGTTAGCATTTTGCCACATTGCTTCCCTCAACTCTCTATACATACATAAGTACATATAATATGTATACATTTCTTTTGCTGAACATTTGAAAGTAAGCCCCGGGTATTATAACACTTTGCCCCTAAATATTTCAGCATATATATCCTAAGAAGACGGACATTCTCCTACATGATCATAATACCATTATTACAGCTAAGAAACTTAACATCAATCCACCATCACTCAGTGAATCCATGCAAAGGTCACGTATTGCATTTGGGTTTACATCTCTTTAGTTTCTTTTAATCTAGAACAGTCTCCCTCACCTTTTTTTGTTTTTCATTACATTGAATTTTTTGAAGAGTGGGCCATATTTTGATTGTTTCCTCATTGGGCCATATTTGAATGTTTGACCTCACAAAGGTCAAACATTGTGGTAAGAATATCACTTAGGTGCTACACCATATAATGTTGGGTTGTTCCAGTATTGGTGATGATAAGTTGGATCATTTGGTTAAAGGGGTGACAGCTAGATATCTCCATTATAAAAGAATGGTTCCCCTTTGTAATCAGTGAGTGTTCTGTGGGGTGATACTTTGACATCATGTGAACATCCTGGTCAACAACAACCTACCGTCCAGTGGTTTTAGCATCCATTGATAATCCTTACCCAAATCAATGACTTCAGGAGGTAAAGCTCGTAAGTAAGTTTTTATTTGTGTGTTGGGTCCAAAATATATTTTTTTAAAAATACAAGGGCCAGCCCGGTGGCACAGCAGTTAAGTTCACATGTTCTGCTTCAGCGGCCCAGGGTTCACTGGGTCGGATCCAGGGTGCGGACATAGGCAACACTTGGCAAGCCATGCTGTGGTAGGCATCCCACATATAAAGTAGAGGAAGATTGGCACAGATGTTAGCTAAGCGACAATCTTCCTCAAGCACAAAGAAAAAGATTGACAACCAATGTTAGCTCAGGGCCAGTCTTCCTCACACACACAAAAAGAAAACATTTCTGAAAGTATGATGGAAACCAATGGAAAAAAAAGAATTGATCTATAACTATAATTTATGCTCTTTATACACAGCTTTTTCATACAAACATAGGTTTCATGAACAAAGAGTATCATGGTCAAAGAAGTTTGGGAATGCTGTCTAGTCCCCTATTTGCAAGCAGCCACCAGCCTATAAGTTCCACAAGAGGAAACATGTCTGTTTTATTCACCATGGCACTTGGCACATGGATCTTCAATAAATATTTGCTGAATCAATGAATGAATCATTCCAAAAGGTATTATAGAGAAACCAAACATTTTTTCCAAAAGAAATTAAGGTACGTGAATGAAGATAGGAGGGAGCTATGCTGGTAATCACTATTCAAGAGATGTGGCAGGAAAAAAATCGATGCTTGTAGCCCTACAAAACAATTACATAGGCTGCCCTCTTGACGCAGTTGGCAGCATGTCAGTCTCATAATCTGAAAACAGTTACAGGGGAGACTGAAAACAACTTGCTGTGACCAAACATCACAAGAAGGGCAGAATGAAGCATTAGTTCAGCATCAGACCTTTGAAGGCATCTGTTGCTCCAGGAGCACAGTTCTTGTCGGGGTGAAATTTCAGGGCAAGTTTTCGGTAAGCTTTCTTAAGCTCCTCATCACTGGCATTTCGCGAAACTCCCAGAATTTCATAGTAATTTCTGCATTTCTTGATCCTAAAAACACACATTAGAAACATGTATGTCTACAAAGGCCCCTTTTGTACAATTAACTGCAAAGTAGTACACCAATCCTCCCTCCAATCTGTGAGCCCCAAAACAAACCTAAAAGAAAATTGGTGAACACATTAATGAAACATTCGATTCATTAACAATGTCCTCCTCCCACTGAGAACTTAATGCCTTTCAAAGTATTTTTACATCTAATATTTTATTTTTTCTATATTCCTGCAAGTAGGCAATGATTTCTTGATATGTCCATTTTGTTGATATTTTCAAGAAACCAACTTCTGGTTTTGTTGATTTTCTCTATTGTTTTTCTATCCGCTATTTCATTTATTTCTATGCTGTATTATTTCCTTGATTCTGCTTGCTTGGATTTAGTTTGCTCTTCTTTTCCTAGAAGATTAGGTTATTGATTTGAGATTTCTTTTTTTAATATAAACATTTATAGCTACATATTTCTTTCTATGTATTGCTTTAGCTGTTTCTCATATGCTTTGGTATGTTGTGTTTTCATTTTCATTCATCTGAAAGTAGTGTCTAATTTCCTTCTGATTTCTTCTGTGACTTGTTATTTAGAAACATGTTGTTTAGTTTTAACATATTTGTGAATTTCCCAAATTTTCTTCTGTTGTTGATTTAAGAAAACATACACTGTGTGATTTTAATCCTTTTAAATTTATTGAGGTTTATTTTATGACCTAATATATAGTCTTATTCTGGAGAATGTTCCATGTATACTTGAGAAAAATGTGTATTCTGCTGCTGTTGGCTAGAATGTTGTAAAGTTCTCGGTTATGTCTAGCTGGTTTTCTCTGCCTCTCTTACAGTGGAAGCATAGCAGTTACCTTAGATTACCCCTTATACTCCACTTCCACCTAGTCTTGCCTCTGAGGCCAAGAAGCTATTATGCTTCAATAATAATAATAATAATGATAATAATAGCAGTCAATACTTACATAGCACATTGTCTGTGCCAGGCACTCCACATCAAATCGCTCATTTAATCCCACCACAGGCTCACCTTTGTACTCCAAGCAGCTGCTCCTCAGTATAAGTGGTGCTCCCCTCACCCTGCCGGGTCTGATTCCACTCATTCTCAGACTTCTTTTCCTTTTGTGCCTTCATGCAGTTACAGCAACCACAAGGATGATGACTTTCAGGAGGTCTGTCTTCTGGGTACTTGTTTCTTCTAATCGCATCAATGTAAGCTGCAAGGCAATAGCTCTTCCATTAGGCCTCAGTCTGACCTGCAAATCAACTTTGCTACCTGCCTTAGCTATCTGGGCGGCTGCATGGAGGCATGAGTAGGTCAGTATGCGGGCCGGCTAACAATGTAACACTGACTTTTAAGCATCCATACAAAGCTGAACAAACATCTTCCTTGAGAAAACGATACATAAAATAGAGAGGCAACCTTGAAAAACTTCTAATGCCAGAAACGTGAAGCATAATAATGTCCACTGTACCTACAGTGGTCAGTCAGCAAATAGAAAGTCACCCCGAGCCACTGAAGGGGCTCCAGAGATATCTGCCCAATACCTTGCCTTTAGTGCAGCACAAGGGGAAGCCTATTTCTCTATGGTCCATGGTCAGAAGTGACAATGCTCATGAAATAATATTTTTGCTTGCAATGCCTCCTACCACTAAGATTTAAAGTAGAGATGAGTTGAATTCTTTTAAACTAACAGTTATGGAAGTAATATATACAAGATACTTGGATAGATAAATCAAGGAGATTTAAAGGTAAGACCTATTCCTGACTATAAAGAGGTTATAGTTTAAAGGGAGAGGATTTAATTAATGATAATGCCTGCAGAATGTAAAGTGGGCCATAGCAATCCAGTCAAAGAAGGCAGAGTACTCACGTCCTGTCTGGAGGATCTGGGAAAGGCTTTAAAAACATCCTTCTCCTGATTAACATCTCTTACTGACTATCCACTCCTCCTTGTCCAGATTTCTTATCATGGGCTCAACCTGCCTCTCCAGCCTCATCTCTCGCCACATGCACCTTTGTAGTCAATGCTCTAGCCACACCAAACTCCTTTTAGATCAGCAATGCTTTCTCTTTTCTCTGTGCCTTTGCATATGCTGTTCCCTCTGCCTGCAACACTCTTCCTCTAAGTCCACCTGGCTAACTCCAACACATCCTGCATGTCAACATATGTAACACTTTCTCCATGGGGCCTCCTCTGACAAGCAGGCTGTGTTGGGTGCCTTTGTCAATATGCTCCCCAAATCTATGATCTTGCTGTGCAGCCCAGGATTATTGGCCCTGTTTTGTAATTTGCTGTTTACCTGTCAAACTCCCTCACTGGACTGAATTCTGCGAGCTCAGGGGCCTACCTCCGTCAAATCCTCGCTGCAGGACCAGCATAACGCAGGGTAAGTAAGAGATATTGGATCAATACTGTTTGCCTGACTGTAGAATGGAAAAGGCCGGCTTATAGGTCCTGATGCGGGCTTCAGGGACAAGACCAAACCGAGACCGAGGGTCACGCCGCCCATTTTGGCGATGAGGATAAAGGCCAGGTAAGCAAGATGTGAGAGACCGCATCACCCCGCTAACCCCTGGGCCACCCTGGCGCGGGTGGAGCCTGACCGCCCCAGGCCCTGGGCGGGGCACGGGCGGGGCGGGATCGGGGGCCGGAGGCAGCAAGTCGTCACCAGTGACTCTGGGCTCCAGGCCGGTCCTCAGCTTGAGCCCGCGCTCCTGGTTTCCGGATCCTGGCTCCTGCCCTGGGCAGTCCCTACCTCATCCGGAACCCTACTCAGGCTCAGCATCTTCTCACAGGCCTCTATCCTTCACCTCAGGTCCAGGATCTCAGCCCTTAGGCGCTTTCAGGAGCCCCATCCCTGATCTCTCCCAGACCCTGCCCTGTCCCACCCTCCGGCCAGGACCTGGTACCTTCTGTCCAGCGCTCCCCGCTGCCCAGAGTCGCTGCCATATCGGTTCCCAATCAGCTGGTCTGCAGAGCCTCCCGAACGATGGAGGCTGAAAGGGAAGGGGGCAAGAAACGCAGGGCATGCTGGTCACTGTAGTCCAACCCATAGGAGCCGCAAGACATTGGACTACAACTCCCGGCAGGCTTCGCGCGAGGGGCCGTCGGAGATACAGCGGTGCAAAGGGGGAAGACCTTTGGAAGCGAGGCCTGTGGGACTCGGCTGCTACTTGACCGCTGCGCGGGTAGTGGCTCACAGCAAGAAACTGGCAACTATGTGCCGCGCTTTTTCTCATTTGTAGAGTGGGGATAGTGACTTCGGCCCCGCCTAACACTGGGGACATTCCAGGAGGCGTGATGAGATCCTTCCTGGGAAAGGCTTTGCAAACTATGGGCTAGAGAGTGACAGTGTGACTATTGTCTCCTCAGGGATGTTCTTTTTAAATATACGCCAATGCCTGTCCTGTGCAAAGTGTATGCTAGGTCCCGGAGATTCAGAGACAGATTTTGGGGATGCAGAACCCAATCCTGGGAACTTAAGAGCTAAGAAAATAGAAAAGTGAGGTGAATTTATGTGGTTAGGGGGCAATCTGGGTATGCCCCTTCTCCCCCAGCTCCTTTGGCACACTGTCATTAGAGGGACTGCTGGGGGAGGGGAGTAGAGAAAGAAGACAAGGGCAGGTAATGGAGCTGGCATTAGGGCCCCTGTCTTTGCTGTTACTTATCCCTCATCCATTCCATCCTACTACAGGGCCCTCTGAGACTTCTCTCTCCCTCCCCACTCGTTGCCTTGGCCCCTACCCTTCTTTTCTGAGATACCTGGCCCTAGGAGATTAGTAAAAAGGAAATGAAGAAATATTGTTGCTTTTCCCCACTCGGGTATGCATGGAGCTTAGCAAAGAATAAAAGCACTTCTTCATAGATGGGTCGGTATACAGTGTCTTTACTGACTCGTGCCTGCAGGTGAGTTGGGATGGCTGAAGGTCAGATCTGCAAAAGTGAAAAATGATCATCCCCAAGTGAAAATTACCAGGAATTCGGTCATGTCTTATCCAGGAAGTCCAAATCAATTATGTCCATTATTATATCAACCAGCAGCTACTTAGGCAGTTGGGGTAGGATGGGGAGATGTACAGCCCTGAACATAAACTGAAAGGGTAAAAGCCTCCAGTGGCATGCAGTTCCATCCTTTCCCTGCAGTCATGGCCCTAAGATATATGAGCATCAGTGTGCTCACAGAAGGCTGGGTCCTGAAGAAGCCACTTGTGCTCTGCAGACAAGGAACCTGACAAGGGACATCCAACAGATGGTTGAATATAAGAAGTTTATTTGGTTTGGGGAGGCTAGACAGACTGCTTTCGAAGATGGACAGGGAAAGTTGGGTGTGCCCTGGAGACTAGGGGCATACAGCTAAGGTCTGGAGGTACTCAGAGATGTCAGAGTACCAGGAAGTTAGAGGTATCTGGTTGAGAGTGGGGGTGCTAGAACATTGTAGGGCATAATTGGATTGAGAAGGGGTACTATGAATTATGGGACTGCTTAAGAGTAGAGTCCAGGTTCAAGAATGCTGGGCAAGATTTGGGAAGCTGGGGCCTCTTGGAAATGTCTGGTACCTTGCTGCCAAGACCAGCTAGGCAGCCAGCTAAAAGGGTGGACGGAATGAATAGACAGAACACAGTCTATAAAGCCTAGCTTAAAGCCTAGCAAGAATGTTGCTATGATCTCCTGCAACATCTCCCCCTTTTTGTTTTTGTAAAAGGAGGTAGGTGGTCTGGGCAGCTTCTCTCTTACTCAGTTTTCGGAAGATTTCTCTTGTGCATCTGAGGACTAAGCAGAAAACAATGAGAAATATGCATCCTGATATAATAGTTCTAATAAGGCTGCTGTCAATGGTTTTTATCCAATAAATAGGAAATATTTTTGATAAGCTGGTATGTATACCATCAAATAATTCAGATTCAGGTAATAATGATAATTTAGCATCTTGCATATGTTCTACTTTAGCTTGCAATAAATATGTATCCAATGTATGATTGTCTTTGAGGTGGCCCTTTAAATGCCAGCTTATAGTACTCCAGCCATCCTCACTACTATCATAAGGATGTGGTGTAATACAGAATTCAGGATTATTCCAATCACATTGCAGTCTGACTAGCTTTTTCAAGTTATGCATTTCATCTCCTAATATTAATGCAGCATTTTCCAGATCCACTAATTGTTCATTAATTCCCTGGTCAATTCGTGTCTGACTGGTCCATGCTTCACAGGCATTTTTATGCCATTGTTGAACAAAGGTTGTGTTTGAATTGTTTGATGTAGTGCTACCCCAGTAATGGCAGCAGTAGATGCTATTGCTATATTACCTAATATAGCAGCAATTAATAATCCAATGACTCTTTTTGATCTTTTTAAGATATTCTGAATTATTTGTAATAAGGCGTGTGTATCAGGAGAAGCTTCCCATGGCCTATTTTGTTTTACTGGAAGCCTAATGTCCAGACATCGCCTCAATAACATATATGAATGAGAATCATTAAATAAGGAGCTATTGAGACAAGTGTGTAATTTATAATCCTAACAATTCACAGTTTTAGCTGTTTCATTAATAGATATCGTACCTATGGCCAAAACACGGATCTCGGACACAGGCTTTAATATAAAAAGTCCCGTCGGTGGATGTGTTGAAAGATAATTTTGTGTTCTCATAGCTTCCATCCCAAATTCTGGATTGCCTTAAGCTGAAGGCTGATTTCCATAAGTCAGTCTGTGGTTTATCCATATTAAATTGAGGTTGTGGAGGAGAAAGTCCTTCTGCGTGCCATAAAATAGGATATTCACTATGTGTAGTATTAGTAGTGTGCTTATATCTTGAAATTTGCCATCTTAACTTTTTGTAGGGTTTGTAGGCGGAGTCTGTATGGGAGCAATTTGAGACTGCATACCCCTTGGGGGACCAGTCCCATACTGTTCCATAGGAACCATTAATCAAAACTACCCCCTCCATCCCGCTACAAACATCCCAATGTATTCGATCAATTTTATCCACCCATAGTCTTCGACTAGCACACAGCGGACGATTTGGAGCTGTAAGATTGTTTTGGGAGGTAATAGAATAATGGAAACTATAGCCTGATAACATATATAATTGCACTTGGCTATGATTTCTATTGAGCATGTAAGTAGATAGCCAAGCCTGTGTAGCAAAATTTAAACAGCCTATTCCCCTTCCTACACAAGTAGGCCAAGGGTCCAAACCAAAATCACTTATGTCATATGGGGTACCTTCTTCCTTTTCAAATATAGGTAGACGGACATCCTCGGGCCCCAAGACCCAGGATGAGTCATTAATATATACAGGGATAGAATTTTCTCCCCAGTTCACTACTCTGATCAATGGTGGGTTAGGAATATATATAAGCCCAATATGTATAAGTACTGTTATTCGGCTGAGCTATGGCCCCGGGTATACTTACGGCCACCCACACCGGGGCAAACATTGTCAGAGCTAAATTATTTGGAGTGACAGGTTTCTTCTCCTGTTCTAACACCTTCTCTGCTTGTTGAGTTAGTTTCTTTATTTGTCCCCAGGTTGGGATCGATGCACGATGCGTCTGTGGCAGTGGGAATGTGATTTTGGTAGTCTTCAAGCTTAGACCCTGAAAACTCATCAACGGTGGTTCGACGTCCCACGCGAATCGGCGTTTTCTTGGCGGGGTGTTTATGATATGGCTTAAGATGTCTAGAAGGAATCCAGATTGGTTTTTCTAAATCTCCTGGAGAAACACAAGCAAAACCTCGTCCCCATGTTATTAGTGACCCCCTATTTCATGTATTACTCCCAGGATCGAACCACCAAATAGGTGGTTTATTTTTCTGCTCTTGTGCATAATGCTTTTCTGCTGGGGTCCCTTCCTCATATGGTTGTAAAAAATTCAAAGTGAATAATGCTTTATAAATTTTTTGTGGAGGGGAGATAGTGGCATCTCCCCCTTTTTGTTTTTGTAACATGGCCTTCAGAGTCCGATTTGCTCACTCAATAATGGCCTGTCCCTGAGGATTGTGTGGGATGCCGGTAGAATGGCAGATTCTCCAATCTGTGAAGAATTTAGCAAGAGAGATGTTGGTATAGGCTGGATCGTTGTCTGTCTTTATGGTTTTAGGTCTGCCCATTACTGTCATGCAGCTACGAACGTGCATAATCACATGTCTCGCAGTTTCTCCTGTAGTGGCAGTTGCCCAAATATAATGAGAAAAAGTATCAATACAAACATGTACAAATGACATCTTCCCAAAGGAGGAAATATGAGTAATATCCATTTGCCAGAGGTCATTAGGTTTTAAACCTCTAGGATTAACTCCTGTATGAGTTTCAGGGATTATGTTTACTTCTTGACAAGTGGCATAAATTCAGATAATTTGATTAGCTTGAGCCCATGTCAAATCATATTGCAGCTTCAAGCCTTTAACATTATAATGAGTCAGAACATGAAAATGTTGAGCGTCAGAAAAAATTTGGGATAGTACTGTATCTGTTCGGGCATTTCCCTCTGCAAGAGGCCCTGGAAGAGAAGCATGGGCTCTGGTAGGGGTTATATAAAAAATGTGGTGTCGGTTACAAATGGTGGTTTGTAGATCATTGAAAAGAGTATATAAAGAATCAGAAAGAGTTTGCTGATAAGTGTCATTTTAATTAAACATGTTATTTGAATAGCGTATTGGGAATCAGAGAAAATATTAATAGGTACTTGGATATTTTGTAAAGTATGAGTGATTGCTTTTAATTCAGCCTGCTGAGCTGATAATCTAGGAGTGTCTATTACATAGGCATATGCTCCAGTGTAACCGGCCTTATGATTACTAGAGCCATCTGTAAATATAATGTTGGCCTCGGATATAGGAGTTAATTTAGTGATTTTTGGAATGACCCATTGAGTCCTTTGTAAAAATTGTAATATAGATATTTTGGGAAAATGATTATCCATCTTTCCCACATAATCAGCAAAATCCAATTGCTATTTTATATGATTTTGAAAATATTGTGATATTTCTTTGTGAGATAGCATCAAGCAAATAATATCCAAGTCATTTCCAGAAAGTTGTTTAGTTCTTTCTCGTCCTCGACTTATCATTTCAGCAGGAAGATCTAAATAAGGGGTAATAGATTTAGACATATTATTAGGTAAAAATATCCATTCTATTAAATGATTTCGTTGCATTAGAATTCCCGTTGGTGAATGGGGTGTAGAAATAATATACAATGAAACTGGAATATGAAGATTGATTCTATGCGTTTGAGCAGTTTGAATACATCGTTCAAATAGTTTCAGTTCTTTATTTGTTTCTTTGGTCAAGCTTCTAGGGCTATTTAAATCAGAATTTCCTCTCAGAAGAGAGAATAAATGTGATAAAGCATATGTAGGTATTCCTCATTTTGGCCTTAGCAAGTTAATGTCACCAAGCAATGTTTGTAAATCATTTAAAGTAGTGATTGAGTCCCTTTGAATTTGAAGCTTTTGTGGTTTGATAGTGGTTTTTTTTATTATTATGCCTACATAGAGATAAGGTTCAGTGAATTGAATCTTTTCTGGGGCTTTTAGGCCCGCATGTTTCAAATGAAGTTGTAATTTTTGGAAGACAGTAGATAATAAATTAGTATCTGGGGCTGTATAAAGGATGTCATCCATATAATGAATGAGATATGTATGTGGATATTTTGCCCTTATGGGGTCTATAG